ATGAAAATTGAAAAAAAACACGTAATAAGTACATATTAAGTATATTAAAAAAACTGTTATTTTGTTTATTCTTACGTTTACTGTAATCTCAAAAAAAATTGGTAATTATACTTACCTACTTCAGTTGGATTAAAAATTATATTCATTTTTAATACTATAAAATACCTTCATACATATATGTATATATAATTAATTTCTCTATTAATATTGAATTTTAGTTCAATACATAGTATGAACTCATAAGTATGATTAAGTTTAGGCCATTACTTATAGTGCTCAGTAAATATATTTTAATAACTATATGTGACGTGAAAACATATATACAGAGAGTAACATATTATTATTAATATATTATATGTATCATATGTATATAATAAGTTTGAACACTTAAAGTTTTCTAATAACTGGTGTTCAGATAGCTTTATACATCAGCCACATATTTATGTGTGCGTGTGTGTGTGTGTCTAAAATCGGTTTTATAATTACAACATATTGAACATAAAAATAGTTTTGTATTAATAAATCCTGAGGTCGATAGATCCGATCGTTAATTTTGATTCGATAGCAAAAACTATCATCAATTTGAAAGACATTCATCACGAGATATTGACCGCTTTAAAACATCTTAAAAGATATATGTATAGAAGATTAATTTTATATTTTTTTCATTCTTAAACATTAAATATAATGAATTGGTCAAAATATTGTTTTTTTGCTGTCGAATAATATTCCTTTCTATGAAAAAAATCTAACAAAAAATCAATTGAAGAAATAAAACGTTGTTTACTCTGAGTACATCCGGATATAAAATATTGATGCAAAAAAGATTAATTTGCGTCTTTTTGTTAATAAATACTCCTCATATATATAATATATAAATTCTAGAGTGAATTTTAGATTTAATTAGTACTATAACAGGCAAGTTAAGTTATTGTTTTTAACATATAAATGCTTTAATAATTATTAAACTAACCACTCATCTTCAATAACACCGCGGTAAAAATTGAGTGGAATATTATTAAATTATAGGTTTAAATATTAACTACACTTTGACGTAGATTTAACAACAGATCTTAACAATGATGAGATCAGCTCAGAACTAGAGACGTCAATTGGTACGTCAATAAGAAAAACGTTTAGCTTAAAACAAACTATATATATAGTTAGTTCGATCACGTGGTTTTGCTTGTTTTTTATACACATAAAAAAGGATAAACACTTAACGACTTTTTATCATGCTTAAATAATTAACGCACTACAATTATATCTCATATATATTATTAATTAAAAGAATAACTCAAAGACGTTGGATAAATGACGATTTATTTAAAAAAATATATAATTATAAATATTAACATTTAATATGATCGTGTGGAAGTTTTATTTTATTTTAATATTATAGACACGGATATAATATATATATGTAAAATCTCGACCGTCTATATATAAGCTTCCTCGTCGAATGTTTTATCTATAAACAGTGATTATAAAAACCTTCCATGTTTCGTAAGTCATAGGATGTGTCCATGTGGGGCCTCGAAAGTGAAGGTACACCAGCTGGTCTCTATTTGGTGTTGTCAGGAAATCACATTTTTCTAACCGGTCTCAATTAAAACGAAACAGCCACGTAACATCGATTAAAAGAAATTTTTTTTCCTTCATTTATATTATTTTATATCTTCTACCTGGTAATTTTCTTTTAGCCAGGGTCTGCCTTACATGTTGTGAATAGTTTTGACTAATTGTTTTTACGACCGCCTGTCTGATATCAACCCTCTTTGGGAATGCATTAATCAGTGACGTCTAAATACTCTTAGAAAGTACATATGACTCGGAAAAATCACATTGGTACTTGCCAGGATCAGAGGCGGGCCTTTTAACCACTGGGCTACCACTGACTTATTTTTACTATTTTATATATCTCGTCTTAAAACCTGTTCATAAAAACTACGTTTATTTCTGAACTACTGAACCCATTAAAACTAATTACAGATCGCGTATGATAATTATAAAGTCATTGGGATCAAGGAAAACTACTAATTACAATAACGAGATTTATATACAACTACGCAAATATTAGGATGTTATTAATAATATGAATTTTATAATTGATTGGAAATAATAAAAATATAATTGGAACATACAAACGAAACTGCATATAACACGCGAAAATTATATAAAAACTAGCTGACCAGGCTAACGTTGTTTTGCTATATATAAAATAGGGGTTGGTGTTAAAAAAGTAACAATTTTGAGATGTATGTATTTTTTAATGTTACATTATAAAAAAATAAAAACAAAATATTTCGTTCAAAATAAAAATGAAGGCTGAACAAACCTTATGACTTAGGGGTATGAAAAATAAATGTTGACCGATTTTCAGACCTACTCAATATGCTCGTTTCGGATGTTTCGGAGGAATTCTCTGTCTAACACCAAATTTTATATGTATATTTAATTTAATTATAATTTATATGGGTACATATATGTATATTTGAATTTTTCATATAACATTTGTAAGCGTGGACTATGAAAGTTGTAGTGTCAGAGGAAAATGATTTGGAAAGTGTCGGAGACAGGAAACTATGTGATTAATGACTGGCTACAGACAGACGGACGTCACTATTATCAATACACATATATATCACTCTTATAAAGTAATATAAATCATTGGACTGTATGTATTGAAAATGGTAAAATTGTTGTGCTCGTGACTTTAAATAAGTTAATTTCCTTTAAATACATTTATATATTTTATTTCGATTATTCAGAGACTTATAGATGTTAATTTATTCATTTGTATTGTTTTGATTATCTTATATATAAAATTTATATATCACAATGTTAGTTACAGTACTCCTTCGAAACGGCTTTACATACAGATTTTTGACAAACTTTATATGTATTCAGTAGGTCTGAAAATCGGCTACTATGTATTTTTTATACCCCTAATTTATAAGGGTTGTTCAGACTTAAAATTATTGTTTTTCAATTTGTTTTTAAATTTGGTTGGGTAGGGAGAGGAGCTTATACAGTAGAGGTAAGCGTTAAATAGGGGTCCCTTAAACCTACATCTGGGACGCAAGTCCCAGTCACTGTTGAAGCTCCTCTCCCTACAACGACGGACCCGGCACCTGCACGGTGAATCCATGGAATGCTGAGAGGTTTCGTCTCATTTTATAATTTGGCATTAATAATACATATTACCCAAAAATTTTTTATCACCACCCCTATTTTTTTTATGGCAAAACAACGTTTGCCGAATTAGCTAGTAATACTATAATAATCAGTGCTTAGTCCAAGTTGTCATCGTCACACCGCACACGAAGTTTCTCGTTTCTTATTCAATAACATACGTTAATACTGTAGGTATGTGACAAGAATTATAAGTGACAACTGTTAACGATCCCTATGTAGTGTACGTGAATACTAAGGGTTCGAGCTTACACTTCAAATATTTTATAATACCTTGTCTCACAAGGACAAAGGATAGAAATACATATTATGTTATTTTATTATATGTATTTCATATATAAATGTTTTATTAAATAAAACTTTAGAATTAATAATAATTTTTAAATAATATTATATAGTTGCAGTCTTCTCATAAAAAAAACTCCTTAGACTCAGGCTCTACTAATAAAAATGACTACTTATTTATAGAAAATTGATCTATACGTATAAAATTATTATTAATTTGATAAAATATACATCTTTATTCGCGTTTCTAAATATTTTTGTTACGTTACATAAGAACATTGTTGTTATTATAAAATAAATATAACTAAATATTAGAAATTAAAACAACTTTGAAACTAGAGTATAGTTTCGGAAGTTAGTTCGTATCGATGTATATTTTTTGTATATTTTCTGATTTATAACAATTTTTTTTATTTGGTCTCGATAAAACCATTTACCCAAATCAATCAATTTCTACTCTGATCGCGTAATTTGTAGAAAGGATATGTTAAAGTTCACTATTGAACTGTTATTACGGTACAGATGTTGAATACTACGGAATGCAGACACACATACGATTCCCACATAACTAGGAAACTACGCGTCCGCACTCACAATGTTATTTGATGTTTCGTATTCAGTCCCCGATTGACCTTTGAAGGCTTTATGTTAAAGACCATTTTATTTAGCTGACCTCCTTAATACAAACATATATAATATATAAACTCTTTGATATAAATAGTTATTGTATGTAAAAAAAAACTCGAATTTGTCTATGATTTTTTTTAATGACCACAAACAAAAGTGACTTTTAAACTTCTTTGTTTTTTCTCATATAAATCAATAAACATCAACATTCGTCCATTCGTATGTTTTTCCCTCACTCAACAAAAATTCATACAAAAATGTTAAAACAGACAAATAAAATGACAGAATATTTTCCTCAAGCAACTTTCATATGCATTTACATTTATTGCTGAAGGTTGTCTTGAAGGTCGATAAAAATATATATTTTTTATATCACACGAGATTTTTGTGTGAATGTGAAGTTATGCGAATCAAATTTCAAATTTTTTTTTTATTACACTCTCGTCATATACAGATCGCTTGGTCATGTCATTTCTCACGACTAAAAAAATACAGTCACGGTGAAAAGTGAAACATAGAATGGGACAGTACAGTTAAAAACAACAGTAATACATATAAGCTATAATAATAAAAATAGACGACCTCGAGTCCTTTAATACAAATACATTCGTTCGGAATCGTAAAATTATTTAATGTATTTTTTATTTAACATATCGTGTTTAATGAATTCTTTAATGCTAATAGTTTTTGAATCGCGTCTTAACTGAGAAGTACGACGTGTTAGTTGTGCGCGGGAAGCCCGCCAAAGCGCTCGCATATTGCACGGTAAAGGAATATTTTACACGCGGGAAAATAAACTAATATTTATAAAAAATATATATGGTGTTTATTAATTTTATAGATGAAATGGTGTTTGTAAATAATGAGTGTTTTGTGTGAATAAATAATATAAAATGTGGGAGTATTTGTTCGTGCTGTTGATCGGCTTCTGGCTTGGAGTTGCTATATTCCTCTACGTGTCCTGCTTCTGGCTTGAAGAGATACTTGGTGAGTGTACAGCTGATGCAGAAGACCAAACTCCTATCAGACAACCTCCCTTCATAATAGCCTTATTTAAATTGATCATAACAGAAATACGTATATTTTTCTCATCAAAAAATAACTTTACATACCAATATATATACCATATTTTTTTAATATAATATAACAACTAAAAGCGAAGACAGACGAAAACATATCTGATGCAATAAATTATTATTTAATCATGCGACAGTTTCGTTAAAAATATATACATATAATATTGATTTAAAACCGGAAAATATTCAACTCGATGCTTCTAGAACAATAAAATATTATTATGTTACACAATAAAACGTATTTAATTGATCTGGAAATAGTTTTATTATTTAACTAGCTTTCCGCCCGCAGCTTCGCCGCGTGGAGTTCGGTTATATCGCGTTTCCAAGAGAACCTTTCAAAAGTCTGGGATAAAAACTATCCTATGTTCTTTCTCAAGGTCAACTCTATCTCTGTACCGAATTTCATTAAAATCAGTTCAGTGGTTTAGGCGTGAAAGCGTAGCAGACAGACAGACAGACAGACAGACAGACAGACAGAGTTACTTTCGCATTTATAATATTAGTAGGGATAATTATATACAACCTCCTTGCAATGAAAACCTCTTCGGAAGTTAGTCTCACAGCTGACCGACGTGATGGTTCGAACGTGGAAGATATGTAAACAAACTTGCCTATACGTATTAATGTATAAAAATATTAGATTTGTCGCGAATTATGTAAGATAATTATTTTATTTTTATATTCATAGAACAATATATTTCAAGGAAATTAATAAATAATAGTATATCATGTTATATATGAGTGGAGCGTCCGAAAATAATATACTGTTTGCTAGATTTATTATGAGGAAGTATGTGTATATATACTTATTTATATATATGTGTGTCTGCGTATGTGTGTGTGTGTGTGTGAGTGTTACTGAAACCTCTTAAACTTCTTCATTTATCTTATAACTTTATACAGAGTAAATTAACATGAAAATATTATGTATATTATATCATAAAAAAATACGACAAAATATCTATAGAGAAAATTAAATGCCTCCTTTCCGTTAAGTAATATAAAATAATATAATAAAGTCTCCTCTGTAACCCCATTGCATATTTTTTAATGATTAAAGTATGTAATAAAATTATTTTTCTTATAATTATTTTCTCACGGAAAAAATGACAAGAATTGTGTTTATAAAACTCATTTACGTGACTATTTGATATCCGAGAGAATTATCATACTTAACTTGTCTGAACTAAAAATAATAATAATTACTATAAAAAAATCTACACAATACATTTTAGCACCGATGTATTTTATAAAGTATTTTTGTGTATAAAAATTAAATCTTAACAACCAAATTATTTTTAATTAATGCTTTATCAAATCCAAGCTTAATTTTAATCACATATAATTGTCTTAATTCCATTTTATATACATATACATGTTCTTATATGATTATCTTATTATCTACAATTTTTTACCTATCGATGTTTCTTCACGTCAAGGTCTTTAGATGATTCTCGTTAAACGTGTATAAAAACAGACAAACAGAATATACAATAATTACCACTAATACTTAGTAACAAAATCGTATTCTTTATATATACATATATATATTTATTATTCATTAGGTATAATGAACCCTGTGTGACGTCATCATTCAAATATTACATATATGTAATAAAATATTTGAGATATTAAATGAAACTAATATTTTCGGATTTACTACGCGATTTTTATTTTGACTATAAATTAGTAACTACATACTCTCGACGTTTCGGTTACTTTACAGCAACCGTGATCACATCTCGTCTGCCCGTGAGTTTCATTTAAATGAGTACTCGCGAAAATCTTAGATTTCATTATTTGAGATTTAATAATAATTTGTTTTATTGACCACTGTAATGATTCAAATCACATAAACAGTTTAAGTGTAACAATTTGTCTGTTCATATGATTTAACATGATTCTGAATGAAACGTCTTTCTTGTGATGTTTTCCTCACGTATAAAACTTCTAAATTGTAATCACGTGCAGAAAATAGAACATTAATTTCATTATTAAAATAGATTTATATGCTAAAAATTTGTCTTTAAATGTACCTAAATAGTAATATTTTTCTTTTAATTTTTTTTAAGTTGCTATGTACTCTTTTTCGTAATTTTTTATAAGCACACGGTACCTCTTCCAAGCTTAACAACACTAAGTTTAGTCCGAGTATGCGTCGTAACGATACATACGGACGTTTCCCGTTTTTTAAACAGAAATATTCGTTCATTATATATTAAGTTTGTTAGAGTTCACGGTTCCTCAGAAAACTAACATCCTAAAATACCATGCCAAAATTACGAGCTCAATAACGGATTCACTAAGAATAGGTTCGTTGTAAATATGTACGTGGTAGTAGTAGAAGCAAAAGGTATAACAGCTAAATTTCTCTACAACCAACTTAAACACTTGTCCTGAAGTAATATCAATTCATTCCTGGAACGTACTTCGAAGGCAGCCCTAGTAGGTTCGTTTTAAATTTGTTTAGTAGAAAGGGGGCTTGAACGGTGGAGGTGAGCGTTTAACCAGCCTCAGATAAGAGCCTTAGACCTACATCTGGGTCGCAAGTCCCAGGCACTGGTAAGGCTCCTCTCCCTGTAATGATGGACCCGGCATCCGCAAGGTGGATCCGTTGAAAGTTTAGAGGTGTCCTCTCTATCTTAACGTGTGTTAATGAATGAAAAACGGGATACGCTTCGTATGTAGTGTGACAATGAAAACTTGGACTATACTTAATTTATAATATACATACTAAAATATTTAAAGATTTAATGTTCAAAACCTGGAAACCGTCTGTGTTTAATAGAAGATGCAAACCCGTTCTAAGGTTAGGGCTATGATATTTTGTTTGCGACAAAAAAACTATTTGAGGTGTTGGGTAATTGATACAATATAAATATACTAATGACTACCATATACATATTTTAATACAATATATAAATATTGTGGAATATCTCTCCAGACCTGCCTCATCGGTCAGGGCGAGCTCGGAGCCCCAGTGCGAGCGGTGCGCATGCGCAGCTCAAACGGCTGGTGGCTCGTGTGGTGGAGGAGGCCGCAGCATTACCTGCCTTGGCGAGATACGCTGCCGAGCCCACCACGCCATGCGACGCTACCACATACGAGGATCTACTGGCCACGGCTATACTCAATAAGGTGAGGAGTTATCGTATACATATAAACATACACAATATTTTCTTAGGCAACATTAACATCACTCATTAGTACAATACGGTAAAGACATAGTAATTTATAAGTTTATTATTACAAGGTTTGAGCAAATTTCAGGTCATTTTCTTTAAGTCACTAACGCTTTCACTATTTTCGCTCGTTATCACGGTTAGTGGAAAACTATCTATAACTATAACTATTATTGGTAAAAATATATCTACAATCAAACACTTAAATCTATTTCTAACAAATCAAGTAAGGAAAGTGTGTAATAACAGCATCCTATTACATATCCTCGCATCACTTTTTCATTTTTTCCATTCCTTTCATATTAAGTATCCTCATATATTTTATGTTCTAAGAGTATTTAGACATCACTGATTAATTCATTCCCAAAGAGGATTGATGTCAGGCAGGCAGCCGATCGTAAAAACAAATAGCCAAAACTATTCACAACATGAAAGGCAGACCCTGGCTAAAACTGGGAAATTGCCAGGTCGAAGAAAGATATATATTATGTTAATGTATTTTCGACATCCCAACATTGCATTGTCGTTATATAAGTTAATTAATTGACTCGTAATAAATCGTGCCATTCCGTGTTTAATTGGACGGATTGCAATATTGGTGGTTCATGTAAACGATAATTATTACATACTTATTGTTGTATGAGGTTACTGATTTCTAATAATAATATGTATATTTATAATACACTTTGATTTATAATGTATTAACATGATAATGTATAATTCGTTATCTATCTAATTGAGATGAGATAAGTATCGCTAAAATTATAAATTATTATAATTTTTGTATTATTATTTATTGCTTACGAAAACTGTAGTATTATGTTATAAGAAATTCTGCAAGAAAGTATAGGGCCTTGGAATTCTGGTCACAAAACTCAGGCTTAGGAAATAAGTACAAACCTAAAGACGTTAGTCAATATACTATTTCTAAGAATAAATGAATGATAAGTGTTATATGTATATATAAATATAAATTTTCCTTTATTGCAATCTAAATATTATTATAAAACATTTATTAATATTTCTCATATTAGGGAGGTGTTATTTTTCACTGAGCAAATTTTTACGAACTCTATTTTCGCCTGGATTGAACAGTAAACTCTTATTGATATATTTTTCTTTGAAGTGTTCTTTTTGTTGGTGAATAGGAACTGCGGTGATTTGAAAGCTAGGTACCCTTCTCATTATTTAAGACTTGTCATCTTTATTTTTGGTAGATTAAGGATTTTGTCAAATTGCAAAATGGCATCACTTTCACTTGTCATACCTGACAGATGACAAGACTTGTTACTTCTTCTTCAGTATGGAGAAATAAAGTTTGAAAAGATCATAGCATCCACAACTTTCAGCGCCTGAAACATATAACAGGCTTATTTGCTACCTTCTAATATTGATGACTTTTTAAGGTCGCTTATATCGAAACCAGATACCAACGAATGAACCCTGCATAACCGAATACCATCGCTAGCCAAAACTGACTGTGCTGATCTCTGAAGATAGACTCTTATAGTCCTGAAATTAAAATATTAAAGATCTGTATTATCTGGAGCACATGATAAATGATTAACCTAATAACCAATAATAAACACAGTATCAATACTGCATCTAGAGGAAACCTTACGATTTCTGCAAATTTATTGAATACGTCATCGCTATAATCTAGGGTCATCAAAAGCCAAACGGTTCTATTAAAAATAATAATAAAATACAAAAACTTTATAATCATGTCTGCTTATATCGGCGAAAAGAAAACTCTTTGAAAATAGTGACAAACGAAATCAGAGCAGCGTTACAGAAACCAAAATGTACAGTTGATATGTGGACTGCGGATCCGGCTCACAGTGTTACCTAACGATGAGTGTAAATGATTTAGAGATATCGGTATCACACGATAACAGGTATCACGATAACGACGACGGACCCGCGGCCGCAGATACATGCAAGTATGAGCCGATATAAAGAAATGGTAAGATTTAATTTGTTTTTTAATTAATCCGTGACGACCAGCGTCGGCCGCTGGGCGGTGGTCAGCTAGTGTTCTGTGACTCAACCGGCCAGAATGCTGTCGCTATATATGACCCTGTTTGTGTTTATGTTGTACGTGCTCGGATGGGTGAGTTCTTTTCTTGTTAACCAAAATAAAATTAACCCTAAGAAGACTAATAATGTTAGAGTCCTAATAGTGCCGTCCGTCAGCCCTGATTCCATTTCGTTGCGATCTACATTTCCCCTGTCACAGTCGCGAATCTCTCTCGTGTGAATAGTGTTCTGTGTTGACAGTGCGCGGACAATTAAATCGTCGGCCTAATAGTAATCACGTTGGAGATTTTTTTCCTAGGATGCTGCTCAGTTTCATCATTGTCTACTTTCCCGATGGAAACGACGAGGTCAACTTTTTTCATTGTCTCATAGTTTCTCTGTGTTTTTATTAGTCTGCGGAAATTATTGTTTTAGTAAGAGAAAGGGGCAAAGAGTCTGTGAAGAATATGATTTAAATTAATAAGCCACGTGTGACCGCAGATGAATATCAATCAAATAGTTTGTATTTATAAACGTGTTGTGAACTAGTACATAGTAATATTCGGTTTATATGACTGTCCCCATATTAATATTTAATATTAATATGGGGACAGTCGATAATGTGATTTGCTCTTATTTTGAATAAGAAAATATTTTTTACCTTATTTATAAAATTTTAATGTACCAATAATGAACTACTTATACAGAATTCTTGGATTTTAATTAAAACAATTTTTAATTAATCTAAATTTCAAAAATCACAATTCGCAAAAATTATTATATAGGTACCTACATTATATATAAAAACAATCTAATCAAATATATGTTTAAGAAATATTTTAAAGAAAGTGAAAATTAAAGCGAAGGTCGAATATAATTATGATACAATGATATTACAGTAAGGGCCAACGTTCTGCCAGTGGCAATTAGAGATAGCGTTAACAATATAATCTTAATACGATAAAACTGTTTGATCAAATCATTATACATTCACAATGCATTCAAAACCCCGAAAACACGAAGACCTCCACTAATATTATAAGGTTTCTAAGTACTTAGAGCGACGATATTGATTTCTGTTTTCTACACTCAAACAATAGTATACATACATATATATATACTGCAGCTTTGTGTTCATTTATTAGTCATAAAATAAAAAAGTCATTACTTTTGAAACATATGAAGTTTGCTAAAATGTTTAAATAAGTTACTTCATGTCAACAGAAACTAATAATTCGACCTTCACAGTCGCTTGACACACATCGCATAGATCGTCTCTATTCTTCAATAGTCTTCATGAATGATACTTAAAAACTGTCTTTTTTATGCTAAAGGGGCAACTGAGTATACAACCTACCTGATTGAAGTAGTACCGTCTCCCATAGACATCTGCATAGGTTTGTGGATGTGTTGCTACCCTTGATTACGAAAGAGGGGGAAAACTTGGGAAAGGGAGAGAAAAGGAATCCGGCTCTCTCACTCATCGGTCGAAACAGAGCCATTAAAGCTAGTTCACGACGATCTTCTTTGAGAAGGTGGTACTTCCCCGGCCGAGCCAACCCATGTTTGAGCTGTAGTAACTTGACCACAGGCTCTACCACCTCAATGTCTATAGGTTAATACCATGAGTGTCATTGTTGCAGGTGATCGAGCGTTATCAGACGGAGAGCGGGTCGGGAGGTCGCAGCAGTGGCATACACTCAGCCAGCGCCAGCCCCTCACCTTCAGAGCGCTCCTCCCCACGATCACTGAACTCACGAGCCACGAGAGAAATCACACCACCGGTAAGTCAGGACATGAAGAATTATATACATTTGTTGATTTAAATAAGATATCTACTTGTTCTAAGTCAAAGGCTCTAAGTGAATAAAGCTTTGAGCATTTTATTATTTAAGAAACTACATACTCCCGACATTTCGGTTACTTTTCGGCAACAGTGATCACGGGCAGGAATTGTGTTCATTCATATCTCGTCTGTCCGTGATCACGGTTGCTGAAAAGTAACGGTAACGTCGGGAATATGTAGTTTCTAAAATAATGAAATACTCGTAGTATAATCCGAAAAAATATTAGTTATATTTAAATGAATACTCGTGAAAGCCTTATCTCATTATGGTTTGAGTAACTCGTGAGTGTAACTTACTTTCCTGAACTTGTAGGTGTGTGAGGAAGATGCGTCAGATTGGGAGGAAGACGCTACGGATGGAGTAGAACTGCCGAAGAGAGTGCCCTTCCCTGAATACGGAGGAGACATTGTGCATACAAGTACTATAACGAGCAATACTACTTTATTAACAAGTAAAGACGAATATAACAGCTTCTTACACTCATATAATGTCCAAACTTTTCTGCCACAATTATTTGTTTATTATATTGTAATATATATTTGAAAGTTTATTAATGTTTGAAATTTCAGACGAATTCCGCGATTTCGATGAAGTGTCCGGCAGCGACATACAAGCTGCGGATGGCTCGTGGGAAGAGAACTGGCTGTTCCAGAAGAAAAAGATCAAAACTATACAATCAGCGCCCGTCCCCATGTTAGTACCAAACTCCAACACTCAATACAGGGCTCTCATTGGTGATAGAGATGCCGACGACACAACGGACCTATCAGATAACGCCAGCGACGCTGAGGAAGACCAATACAAGAGCAGCATCCAGAAAGCCGTCGCATCCAAACATGTGATTGGTGGAAAACCTAAAATAGAAGAAGTACTGGACTTTGAACCTGACAGCCTGAATATAGTTGATGATATTGAAATATATGAGGAAGAACACCAAGATGATAAAAACATACCTGATGCAGCAGAGATTGTCAGAAACGATGAGTCTAAATTGGTGGTTGCGGTAGATAGCGGCCCCATACATAAAGCTGAGTTCAATTTGAAAGAAGAAATCCATAGGACTGTAGTTAATGGCCATAACGAAGACTCGGAGGAAGATGCAGATAATAAACATATAGAAACATGCGAGAGTAGTACTGGTAATATATATTTTGTTATGTTTTTCCCATCTAATAGCTCTTAGTATCTTCAATGGAATTAGTTTTTAATTCGTTTTCAGTGAACAACACACTGAGTCGTTCTGAACGTGAGAAGGACTATGAGGAAGCTGTGTCGCTGCCGGTCCAGAGATACGATGACAGTCTGAGGAAGAAACACTTCGAGGAACCACTAGAGTATGTCATGGAACTTTATATATGACTAGCTTTCCGCCCGCAGCTTCGCCCGCGTAGAGTTCGGTTATATCGCGTTTCCAAGAGAATCTTTCAAAAGTCTGGGATAAAAACTACCCTATGTTTTTTCTCAAGGTCAACTCTATGTCTGTACCAAATTTCATTAAAATCAGTTCAGCGGTTTAGGCGCGAAAGCGTAACAGACAGACAGACAGACAGAGTTACTTTCGCATTCATAATATTAGTAGGGACTAGATATTGACGGACTTGTGATCGTACAGAATTGATTGTTTATAGAAATTGTAGATTAGAACTGTCATTTTGTCATTTAATAACCATACATACATTAAGGAATCTTCATATATAGGTCCATCTTATTTTGGTGTGCGTATGTGTGTGTGTGTGTGTGTGTGTGTGCAATCTTCATGAACATCTTGACTATATTAAATCCAATGTTCGTCCATTCGGGAAATTCACTTAAGAGATGCAATAGTTTTCGCTTCCCGAATAAATATAAAATGACTATTACGACTTCTATATACAGGGTGACTGGTGAATTACTATCAATATTTAAGGAGCATACTCGGTACATGATTCTCATTCGAATTATGTAAAAAAAATAGTTACTTAATTTTTGACAAAATTTCCGTATAAATAAATAAAGTGTTGACACGTTCTAAGTGTTCCAAGTGTGGACGCGTGCGGCGGCGTGCTGATACAACACAACGCCGCCGCACTCGTATGTGTGAGTGTGGGTGTATACCTAATCTGTAGGGTGTTCATACGATGCGTAATTAATTACATAACTTTTGGTTACCTTTATTTAGAAGTTTATTAATATTTATGTTATATTAATTTTTATTTTGTCATATATGATCGTCACAAATCACGTCCTCAAATATCGATAGTAATTCACCAGTCACCCTGTATATTATAATTTGCTCTAAGTAGAAACTTGATTGATTTGTGATTTTTGTTATTTTTATTTTATATTACAGTGTTTTTAAATATTTGTTTCCCAAATAAATAAATATTTTGTTGGTAGCTATCATTGACATTTTGTTTTGTTTCAGTCACTCCACTCCAAACGGAGTTAAGGAAGAGGAATTATTACCTGGTGAGTTATACATTTTTCATATGTTTTACCCACTTTTCAGCCTTGCCTCATTGATCAATCCCGTAAAAGTTATGTAACTCACTAAGCCACTTAAATTTCCTTCGATATATACCTAAGAAAGCAAATGTCATAATTATTATATTCTTTACCGTATTCCAAAATACAGCAAAAAAACTAGCATTGTATGAAATACGCCTGTGATTTCTTTCATACAACTAGATAGTTACGTCGTATTTTAATTGTATAGATAAATAAATTAATCAAATACAATTCAATCTGTTAAAGGTTCCATCGCATACAGAGAACGTAAGAAATGGCTGAATTACGTCGAAATGCCGAACAATCCATACTCACCGGAAGCTATCAAGAAGAGGCTTTCAGCGAAGAGCACGTCCTCACTGTTCGACACACTGACCAAGAAAGAACAATACGAGAAAAACACTTCACACGAAGACGTGTCCACAGAAAAGATGGAGGATCAGGAAACGGAAGGTCCATACAAAAACAGTCAACTGAGAACAAGCATGAGCTCAGATAATGTGTTGGAGAACAAGAGGGCTGTGAGTCCATCAGTGAGGAGGCTAAGGAGTGTAGTCTCTGAAGACGACACCACCTACAAGAGGTAAGGTATCATCACTTATAATAAAATAATATTAATATTAAAATACTAGCTTCGTCTGCGTGGAGTTCGGTTATATCGCGTTTTCAAGAGAACCTTTCCAAAGTCTGGGATAAAACTATCCTATGTTCTTTCTCAAGGTCGACACTATGTCTGTACCAAATTTCATTAAAATCAGTTCAGTGGTTTAGGCGTGAAAGCGTAACAGACAGACAGAGTTACTTTCGCATTTATAACATTGGTAGGGATATATGGAATGTTCAATAATACTGATAACTATCAAATCCTTCTGTTAAAGATACGACCGTGATTACTATATAAAGGAGGCGAGGTCTTCGTCCGGTGAGCGCAGGAAGACCAGCTCGAGCGGCTCCTTGTGTGGCGCGGGGGGCGGTCCGGAGTCGCCGCGGCCAGAGAGTTCGCCAGTAAGTCCCTTGTGTGAGCTGGAACGATCAGTGTGTCACCGACGCTCCGCCCTCAGCCCGTCGGTCAGCCCCAACTTCGCCATCAACCCCATATATGAGAACGGTCTCCCGGACCACGGTCTCCTGGATCATGGTCTCCTAGACCAAGCCCGACCCACCGGTGTCTCCGACCACGAGGACTTCCTGAGACTCAAAATCCCCGAACCCAAGGTCACGGAGGAGCTGTTCGAGAGTTACTACGACGTGAGGAGGAGCAACACGCTGAGGAGTGATACGTATCGGAAAAAAAGATCGCCCATAGAGTTCAGTTTCGGAGGAAGCGTCAGGTTGAGCAAAGGTTACCGGAGGGACCTCTGGTGACCCGCAACCACACAGAACATACATCACAACATCCAATACAAACGTAGCAATAGGTTTATATGTTAAGATGATCATCAAGTTATGTGGTGGAAGGATACTTCTCTCCGCTGAGTGTAGTTAGCATGATCTGTTCCTACGGCGGCGACTAACAGCACTCCGCACTTAATAATCTAATGATTAGAACAGCACTCACAGATACATCTTAAAGTTACAGTCCCATAACAACGTAATACAACAACAAGTTAGTGGTGAGTGTTGTGACTTTTGGAGATTATTACTAACGGGCTTCTGGGGCGGCTAACACGTCTACCGGACACGCTTCGAACTATGACCACTGTAACAGACGCACGCACTAACGACCTAACAGGGCTTACTGATCTTTATATCTATATGTAACTAATACCTATACTAACTTCTAATATTAATACGTTATATTCATGACATCATTGAAACTTCTAGAATAAGACTAAACGCTTATCCAGTATCATTAATACATGTGGTGATAATGACCAAAACATATCATTCAGCTAACGTAAATCTCACTTGCAGGGATTGCTGATAAAGCAATTCAACACGATCGCCGCCAACCGCCAGTACACGACGTTCTCCGGTAGAGAGGATAACATCTCGATAACTACCATGCCGGCCGAGTACAACAACGAAATCATCATAGAGTACGAAGACGTCAATGAAAACACACTGTTCGATGGAAAAATTTACACGAGCGAAGATACAGACAGGAAGTTTGAGGAAATATTACAGATGGCCTGCAATGATGGAATTCTGGTGACGAACAACACAGGCGACCTAGAGAAGGCTACGAGCGATCAGAACTCATTGACTTCAAGCAGCTTAGGAGATTCGATCAAAATATACAACGTACAGACCGGTGAGGTCGTGAAATGTAAACCAGAAGATAAGTTATCACACAGATACGACACTGAAGCTGATATTACACATGATAACGATGCAGCCGCGACTAGCGCTCACACTGACATGAGTGACGCGAACACTCACACTGTGGAGACTTTAGAGGCTCATAGGACCAGCGAAATAGACGACCTGCCTGAACATTTACCGAGCGTGAAGGAGCTAGCGAAGAAATTTGTCAGCATGGAAAGTCTCAGCGAACAGACCAAGGTAAGATAAACATAGTGAAAATTACAAACAGTTAATTCAAACAAATAATATGTATAAAAGAAAGTGTTGTTAGTTACACTATATATAACTCAAAAACGGCTGTATGGATTTGGCTTTAAATTTGTGGGGAGGTAGATTGGAATCAGGAGACGGACATAGGATACTGTTGAATTCGTTCAACCAAATAAAAATTGCTTATACATAGAATCCAAAATCTGTTTGTTTACTGCCTCTAAACCAAAACAGTTCGCCAGGTCAACTATATATATATTATGAAACGTATTTCTGAAAATGTATTTCCAATTATGAAACTAACGCGAACAAAGTCGCCGGCAAAAGCTATTAATATATAAGAATAGTGATGATGACATACTTGTGTTATCTTATTTTAAATTCGGATTCTCAACTATGCGTCACATTATTTATCAAACATACCAATACAAATTTTCATATATTTCAGCCGGTCCTGCCCCTGAAGCGGCACAAAAGCAAGGAAAATATGCTCAGTCCGGACACGAGTCGACCATCTAATAAACTGACATACATGCACAGCCTCACCGCGAGAAGCATCTCTAGAGAGTTCCGGGAAGAATTAAAGCTATCTATGGCAACACCGCTTACAGTACCAGGCGGAGCCAAGGACATTCCTGAAGGAGAGGAAGTCACCAGGGAATCAAGTAGACCAGGAAGCCCTGTCCCAGAACCCGGAACCATCAAAACAAAACTAGCATTCTTCGAAAGTCTCAGATCAAAATTCACCAAGTAACTCCAAATACCTCCAAAACGTCTCGAAAACTTTATATAAGACTATACTAACTCTGAAAAGCCGATAGTTATGTTTCCACCACATAAGTGGTGACTACAGGTTATTTACAAGAATGTAAATAATTTTTGTAGTCCCACTTACACATCGAACGACAAATGAATTACTTTATCCATGTAAATCTATCATACTAATGATAAGTGTCATAAATACCATATTATAATGAAGACATATTAATTTATATTATACATTTATTTTTAAGTAATTGTTTAAAGTATAACAAATGGTCACGCTAGTTGTAGTGATCCTGTAAATATTAAGTGCCATTTGTAACCATCTTCGTAGCTGAAGCCAAAGTTGTAAATATTCATTCTAGTATAGACTATCACTTGTGGTTGTGTGCATACATCTTTATTTTAATATATTTATATAAAGGTGCAATATTTTGATGTACTTATTGTTAGTGATATTACAGAGGAGCTGTTTATATTTGTTCAAATGTATTTAGTTGTATGTGAACGGTATCAAGGTTATTATATAATGTAATCATTATATATTATACAACTTTTGGATGTGGTTTATTGGTCTACAAAACATCAATTATAAAGAAATTAAATTTCTACAAATGTGTTTTATTTAACACACAATATATAAAGTCATAACATCATTAATTTAACATTTTTTAATATGTTATATACAGGATTAAAACAGATTATAAAAGTGTTAAGTATTTACAGATTAAAAATAATTTAATCAATAATAAACACTCAGAGTTTTATGATATGGTATCTTTTCCATTTCTTGAGCATATTTTCTTCTGTAGCACCACAAATAATAGTCAATGAGACTTGAATTTGGCACTTCTGCTGTCAAACCTGCTTCTTTAATAAGCTCCCCGGTCCTTTCTTTAATCAACTCGACAGCATGAATTGAGCAACCTCGGATTTCGACTTCTTCCTCTGATCCATTTGGTAATAATATATCTAACAAAATATTTAACACAATATATTAAACTGTTTAAATAAAAATCTTTGTTAAACTATCAAATTCTCTACTATGTAGTCAAAATTGAATGTTCGTCATTTCATATTTACATGCAATGATTAATTAAGGAACAATGAAAAATATAAATTATGAACATTTTAGTCAACTTTAATTTGATAAAATTACCTTTATTCAACTTTTCCATGAGTTCATCACTGTAAGTTAGGGCTCCAAAATAAACTAAAACCTGTGGTACTCTATAATCAGCAAACATTGTCATTTCATCAATATCATGGAACTCGCCCCAGCCGCTGCCGTCAAAGAAATTCCATAAATCAGACACCAGAATCTGTGCTCTTTTATACAATGACACCCTCTGTCCTTTATAGTCAGCTTCATCACGAAAACATGGAAAATTATCAACAAGTATGCTTAATAATTTAACAGCAGATTTATTACTATCTTTGAGGCAAGTCTCAAAAGTGCTGTTATATTTATTGATCAGTATATTTCCAACTTCATGTAGTACTGATAATCTTTTATCAAGCAGAGGAATTACAGCATTTGTGTCACCTCTGAAAATATTACTCAATTCTGTGTTTGTTATCTTTGAGTAATATTCAGGATTTAAAATGTCAATACCTTCCTGAAAATGTATTAAATGAGTTAATATTCTTTAATCAAGCTCAACTTAACCATATATAATTGGAAAAAATAATGTCATTAGTTAAGTTTTACCTGTATAGCTCTATGTAGTGCAGCCTCAAGAGCATAATAGCCAGTGTAGCCACAAACGGTCCATTGAGTCTCTTTATTCTTTGACCAAAAGCAAAAGTTCAATGCATCTAAAATAAACACCCAGTCTACAGCCTTTGGATGGGTTTTATCAGGATGTATAGATTTAGCACCTGTCTCTGGTATTTGTAACTTGTTCTCTCTTAAGGAAGAAAATATCTGTAATATAAATTATAACCCAAAAATATTTTTATTCACCGTGCATCATATAAGAAAATTTAAATGTAATGTATAAAAAGTAAACTAATTAGTTACCTCTTCACTTAGTCGTTCTATTCCCTTCTTTTCAATCTTAACATGTTGAGATTTCTCACTTATAAACTTCCCAGACAAAGCCGGAGACAAAACAGTTTGTTCCATATTAGTTAACTTTTATTTATGTTGTCTTCAAAAGAAATATCAAAATGAAAGTGGAAATAGTATTAAAGTCGAGGTTCCTTATCGTTACACTTGAATATATCTAAAAGATTTGTAAGTATTATTATCATAATACTAAACACTTGAAATTGTTTGTTTTGTAAACTTTATCTTCAACAGAGAACTGTCAAACAGTACTTACAGCATGACATTTGACAATGACAATCAGATATTCTGACTATGCTGTATTATAAAGTATAAAAGATTGAATTCAAAAAACGTAATATAATCACCATAACTGACGTGTATTTACTTTAAAATGAGTACTACACAATTTAATAAAGGTATTTTATTAAAAAAAAAAATAAGTTATATGTTACTACAGAAATCACTAAATTTAAAAATTATGACAGATTAAATCGTTTATTGTGAGTTTAAACTTCAGACATCAAAGTAACCTAATAGTCCTATTGCATTTAAGAAATACTTTTCGTTTTCCATATATAAAAGAAAACAGAAAAATGCCTTTAGATGTCCAAGGTACTTTTGTATCTCAGAAAATAAATAAAGTGCGATGGATTCCCGAAGATTACATGGAAACGAAACATTTTTTCACTGGAAGTTGGGATGACGATGAAAATTGTATAAAAGTTTGGGGCTTTGAGACTGCCAATGAAGATGAAGATGTAGAGTATCCTCGACAATTATCTGAATACAAAGTTGATGGTGATGTGACTGAAATGAAGTTCACAAACAAAAATGTGATAGCAGTTTCCATATCCAACGGTGATGTGAAAATGCTCGAGATTAGCGCTTATGATAAAGAAGCTCCTTTAAAAGAAGTTTATACTTGGAACAACTTGCACAATTACGGGTAGAAAATTAATTATCCAATATAGATTATATGTTTTAACAACTTTTTTATTACTTTGATATTAATATAGGACCTTCATTTTGTATTCTCACATTTAATTTATCTATTTAGAGTGGAGAAATGTTCCTGTACATCCTTGGATACCTTAGAAGGAGATATAGCTAGTATAGGAGAGGATGGTAATGTCAATATATTAAATGGAAGAAGAGGGGACATCTCACAAACTATTAAAGGAGCTGATAGCTGCTCCCTACACTCTGTCTGCTTTATAAAATTAAATGAGGTACTTTGCTATTTCATATTAATACTTAATTTGAAATACAATGGACCCCCAGTAATCTGGCACCCTCTGTAATCGAACATGATCTATTGTTTATTATTGAATACATATTTTGCATTTGCTAATGTATGATTGAACAAGTTACAACTTGGACGCACCATCACTATTGTGCTCGACGCATAGGGTATTGTTTTGATTCTGATTGCTTAGTTGGAATTTGAATTTGTACTTCAGAATACATATGTCTATATAATATGTAAATAATATTATCATAGAATCTGTAATAGGCAGTACTGTATAATCTGACGAATTCGATAGTTCGACACTGCCCTGCAAAATGTTTGTCGGACTGCCGGAGGTCCACTGTATTTTTCAATTTCTACACTAAAACATTAGTCGTATTTTTGCAGTTCTATTTTCATTATAATATTTGCATCCATATAAATAGTAATAACAATTTAAATGTTTCAAAGTACAGTATCTTGACAAAGTATTAAAGTTATTGGTAATTTGTTATTAAAACAGGTTATAACGGGAAACGTCAGGGGCCACATGAAGATCTGGGACATCAGATCATCAAGCAACAAACCGTCGGCAGCATTTCTACTAGCTGGTGATGAGTTAGCTGCTACATGTATCATACATCACCCAACACAACCACACATTGTTTTAGCCGGCAGTGAGTCTGGAGCACTGGCGTTGTGGGATTTGAGAATGAATCAGTTCCCGACATCTCTTCTTAACGCACATGGGGGCGGGGTCACAGAAATGCAATTCCACCCAGAAAATCCAAATAAACTGCTAACTACTTCTGTGTCCGGTGAAATTTGGGAGTGGAATATGGATATGTTGACAAAGAAAATGTCCGATGATTACATGCCGGTGGATGATAAAACAAACATGAATGTGAACTCCTTGATGCCCACACTACATAAAGCCATCAATACATTGCATTGTGACCGAGGAAGAACTTTGTGTGGTGCAGACAATGAAGCTATATATTTAATAAAGAATCTAAGATATTAGTATTAATTTTCTTAATATATCTGTTATTAAATTATTATAATGAGTTTTATTGGATTTTGCCAGTACCTTTAATTTCCTAATTATTAAGTAGTTCAAGTTTTTTCAGTATAGGTATATGCATTGTTGAAAGAACTGGTAATTTTAAAGCTTCAATGTTGATATTGTTAGCTTTTATTCATAACTATCTTATTATAACTGGTTCCATGGAATACTCCCAGCCAAATAATATCCATTAATAGGCTAAGCCCCTAAATTATGATATTGAGAAATATTGTTTGTATAAATACAGTCATTATGTAAAAGCAAGATATTAGTGCAATTGTAAGTATCTTCTACATTACTTCTGTTTTAACATCAAATAGCTATTCTTGTACTTTCTAAAACTACTGTTTGAAATTAAACAAACATTATATTTTTCTTATATAATGATGAAATATATCCTATCACTTGCATGGGCATTCTGAAGAAGGTTGCAGACTGCAATAAGATATGACTATTAGAAAACAAAAAACTTTATTATAAAATGGTATACTTAATACTACGAAATTCAAAGCATATAGCTCAGGGACAAGATGGGTAATTTCTTATATTTCAGTGTTTAAGAGTTAGCATAACACAAAAGGCAGATTATAAGTTTGGACAATATTCTGAACATCAACAAAGTTTTAATCCTTAGTACCCTTCATCGCTGATGGATATAGTATAAGCTGGGTAGGCCTCCTTAACTAGCTTAGCTGTTATTTCATGGTCTGCTTTGCCATAACCTTGGGAATAGCCATATATGTGTATTTTCTTATTTTCTGGATCATGAGATATCCTGCCACCTCCAAGGGGTTCACAATCCAGTGGTGACAGCTTAGCTTGAACCTATTAATGTAAGAAACAAAATTGTATTTAAAAATGAATGAAAATTCTGTTTTTAGACCAATTACAACAACATACCTCATCAAAAATATCAGAATGATAATTGCATCGTTTATAGCCTCTGACTAAGACTTTTTGAGGTTCGCTTTCACTTAGGTTCTTGTCATACAAATTAATTAATATGTATTTAAAAACACCTTCAGGATCAATATCCACAACTGGGACGTTAGCTGCTGATGCCATTTTTCGTATATAGATTGGATAAGCGACTGAAACATTTTTAATCATTAAATAACAATACCGGTTAAATAATAGGTTAAAAGTCGTTTATTTTCACTTCTGTATTTATATTATCCAATAGTTACTGTTTTTAGGAAATATAGCGGGGGCAATGTACTTCAAACAGCGAATGCTTTTAATCATATCAGTAATTATATAAAATATAGTACAGATTTAGTTACACGTTAAATAATTAGACACTTATAAATAAAAATCACCTTACTAGACAACTGTCGTCTTGTTTTGAATTTTGATAAAAGTACAATTGACAAATGAAGGAAAGCATGTGTTGGTAAAAGTAGTAAATAGTGCAAAAATTGCATGAAAATTTTAAAAAAACATATTTTAAATATTATTTACATTTTATATGAAAAGCAGACCAAATTTATTGTGTGATACAATGTATGTATGTAACTTATAATTTTTTATACACAATTTTTACTCTGGCATATTATCAAATGTGTAGCTGTCAGTTGGCTGTCTCTTGGTATTTTATTTTTGGGAAAAATATCATATGCGAGTGATATTCGATATTTGTGTGTAAATATGAGTGCAGGATCTAATAAAATGGATTCCAATATCACTAGTAAGTCATATATTTGGCAAAGAATTACAAATTAAATACTACATAAACGAAAATATGTATTTGTTATTAATAACGTCCATCCTTGCCTTAATAGGATGCTTGTATTTATAACGCTTCAAATATTTTGCATATGAAATTTTTTTGTATTTTAAAATATTTGTAGGTTCGTGGGTCAATTTCTTCACTGCGGCTGGCATACCTTCGGAGGTCGGAGCCACCTACGCTATTACCTTCACGGAGAATCGGATTCAAAACGATATGCTGCTTGACTTGAACAAGGAATACCTACGAGATATGGGAATCACAAGGATGGGAGATATTATAGCCATATTAAGGTACACAAGGCTTTTAGGGTAGTAAATCATTGCATTGTATAGTTTACTCATGATGATAAATTTAAACCCACATTATAGAAGGCTTAAGAGTAGTCATAAAAGAAAATTGAGATATCTCAATTTTGGTGTTACATTAACTCAATCTGTAATTAGTTGTCCAAAAGTAGTAAAGAACTAAAAAATTGTCTTAATATGATAAATTCATAATTGCAGTTATAATATTTTCTTACAAGGTTTTTTTCAAGAACCAAAATACATTGTTTTTGAAAGTTTGATTTGACTCTTCAACTTTTCAATAAAAGAAGGAAAATTTTCATATCTCATAACTTGTTATAGTTAGTAGTTATAGTTGATATTAAAATAAATCATATAATAATTTCAAATATATTATATTTTTTTTATGATGGAGCAATATATTTTAAAGAGCAACTCTCATCACAATTAACATATTGAGGTATAATTATACTCTTTGTCAATGGAGGTGTCTCAACTATTGGTTTAGCTATTAACCTTCAAGCGGGCGCGTGTAGTCGATTCGACCGCGCTTAGTACATTTTCGTTCATATTACTATTATTACCTATTACATTTATTTCTCACTTCTAGTAGCCTGTCGCTATATTATTTTGAGTAAAACAAAGAATAGACCGTTGCTCGGGGTGCTCTCTCCCCTCCACAGATCGCAATTGTTTTAGTTGCAGCGCAGTCGTCGAAAAGATTACACGCGCCTATCGTCGAAAAGGTTACGCGCGACGGTCAATGCGACATATCCTTGTTCCGCTCATACATTAGTTGCGGCCATTATTCAGTATTATCGAAGCAAGCTTGTATTTTTTATATAAAATGAGTCATGGGCGGTTATCACAAAGTGCAATACTCGAGCAATTACTCGAAGAAGACGAAGAAGAGAGTGAATCAGAGCTTAGCGACCAAGGCTCTGAAAATACGACCACATTGTTGCAGAGGAACCTCTACCTGCTGAAGAATCAAACGTCTCGGACTCAGAAGAGGGTGATTTACCACTTTCAGAAATAAATACCTACTTTATAGCATTGTTACTTTTTACAATAAAACAAAGGGGGGTGTCGACGAGGTTGATAAAAAAGTAAAAATGTATTCGGTTTCAAGAAAGAATAATAGATGGCCATTAACACTAGTCTTTCGTCTTCTGGATACTGCAGGAATAAATAGTATGGTGATATTAGGCACTGAATTGATAAAAGAGTACATCCAAAAGAGATCAACGATAGCGGGCCTTCCCAGAAAACTAAAAAGAAACATAAGGGAGTATCTGAATATAGAAGAAGGAACTGCTGATACTGAAGCAGCTAGTTCTGGTACATGCAGAGGAACCTGTAAAATATGTCCAGCCAAAAAGAGGAGGCAATCAAAAACGCAATGTAAATTATGTATGAAAAATATTTGCAGAAGTCATACAACTTTCATTTGCAATCAATGTTATATAGACAAAGAAACTGATTCTGATAAAAACTAAACTTATAATTCACTTTTATTTTGTATTTTTATAATTACGTTAGGTATATATACTAGTCTGAGATACGTTAAAGGGTTTTGTGTTCCTTATTTTTGTTTTAATCCAAAGAATATTTGTGTTATGTGAATAAGTTTAGTAATTGTTTCTTTTTAATAACTTTAATACTTTTTTGAAAAATTAGACTATAAAAACAATGATTATATATCTAAGTACAAATAAATAAATAATTATTGAATTATTAGGGCTTTATTTCTTTTATTCATCCCATACGTCTTTTCGGTTACGCGCGCCCGCTCCCGTTAGAAATGACCGCGCGCCCGCTTGAAGGTTAAGAAATAACTACACTGGCATAAAATAACATTGTTTCTTTGTACTACTAACTACTAGTATTGTTATATCTCTAATAATAACTATTATCTTAATACAAACATTTAAAATAATTCACTTATAACTATGTATAAATATACAGGGTGACTGGTGAATTACTATCGATATTTAAGGAGAATACTCGGTACATGATTCTCATTCGAATTATGTAAAAAAAATAGGTACATAATTTTTGACCAAATTTCCGTATAAATAAATAAAGTGTGGACACGTTCCAAGTGTGGACGCGTGCGGCGGCGTGCTGATACAACACCACGCCGCCGCACGCGTGTGTGTGTGTGTGTGTGTGTGTGCGTGTATACCTAATCTGTAGGGTGTTCACACGATGCGTAATTAATTACATAACTTTTGGTTAACTTTACTTAGAAGTTTATTAATATTTATGTTATATTCATTTTTATTTTGTCATATGTGATCGTCAAATATCACGTTCTCAAGTATCGATAGTAATTCACCAGTCACCCTGTATATTAACACTCTATGTACAATAAAATAATAATATGTTATGCAAAAAAGTTGTCATGAACTGAGCAATGTAATATTTCCAGGCTTTACTATATATTTGATTAAATATTCTTATCCTTTAAAATGGCAACAATGCAATTGTTGTAATTATTTATTGTTCACATTCTTTATTTGTGACTATCAGTGAATTTTGCTGTTTCCTAATAGGAGGTAGTCTCAATAATTCTAGAAAAAAAAAGGAAACTTGTTTTTCATTCTCATAGTAATACATAATAATGGAATATGCTGTAATGATGTTACTTGTAATAAGAAAATAACTTTATATAGCTTGTTATAGACATGCTAAAATGGTGCATGAGAGTACGGCCAGGGAGAGGGTTTTGAGTACTACAGTAGCTAGCAACAAGGTGCCCGTGGCTGCAGTCACTGGCAGAGCTACCATTACCCAACCATCATCTCGTAAGTTTTTTTCTATTAGTTTTGTCTCTTTGTCATCAAATATATATTAATATTGAGTACTTATATATTATATGTTAACCATCAGCAATTTCTACTGTCTGTGTCACATGTTTTCATACAAAACTTAAAATATAACTTGTGTCAAGTTAACGTGCAAACAACATAGAATGAGGGAATAAATTGTACTTTTCTGGTTGAACTACATTTTTAGAAAGAATTATCTGTCTGTTCGGTATTTTTCGTGATAGAGAAACAATTAAACAAACATTGTCAAAAAACTTTTGTGTCCATGATGTAGCAGGCTATACTGTGTAAAAGAAAATTACCATTGCATAAAGGACCATTAGATTTCTTTTATAAAATATATTATTGTTGTTTATTTACTTATAGTTTTGTAACTTTTCCAGCCGCGAGTCGCATGTTGGAACACTACACCAGAAACCCTCAAGTTCAAGAGACTTCTCCGATGAGAGCCTCAACACAGAAACGTAAATCAAATGAAATGTATGTCACATACTTTGTTGGCCTAAGATTGTGTATTGTATTTGAAGTTTAAATACTTAGATTTACATGTATTCCCTTAAATAAAGTTTCTGGCATGTAACTCGGCAAAAGACAGTAGATGGTCAGAAAACGATTTCCAGGTGTTATAGGTATGATGCGGGACAAGGAAACTAGACGACACAATCAGTGAGCCGAGCACATTAACGAGCAAATTTAAAATATTGTTTTAGAATTTAGTTACTGTTCCGAATTTTGTTATTGATAAGCATCAAGAGCGGGCACTTTTTGTTGCATTTAGTGTACATGCGCAAACTTATCCCCACCATGCCAAAACGTTGACAAGTTTCGTACCGGCAATTATATCTATTTGTATAAATCATTAATCTATGTGTTATTTTTTGTCCAGGAACACAGAAGATAAGAATGTTAAGAAAGCACGTCTCATCAGATTTGGTACGCCTCCACAGACAACTGCCATCACTAAAGAAGGTAGGTCTTTCGTTGTATATATCTATAAAAGACCATAATACTAATAAAAACTATTGAAACAAAGTTATGGTATATATTTATAAGAGTAGTTCAATTAAGATATATACATGTAACTTAATGAAGGAATTTTATTACACTAAATCACTGAATAAATTTTAAGAATAAATAGTATCTATAATTATTTTTCAGCTCCTCAAAATAAGACAGTTTTCGCACGTCTTGGTCATTCAGATCCAGTATCAGATGTTCCTCAAAAGGTCGGAAAGAAAGTGTTTTCCAGACTCGGTGCTAAGGACAACAAGGAAAAAGACCAGGTGGTCCCCATCGAAAAGGACGCTCTCAAATACGAGGGTATCTTGAAAACTAGTCCAGAGACGAGGAAAGTGTTCACTGTTACCACATCCGTGAATAATATAAGGAAAATAGCGTTAGGTACCATGAGAGCTGATGAGACGCCAGTCAGTGTGAAGGATAAACTGGCCATTGCACGCGCGAAATCTGTGAAATTCTCAAATCGCGTGGAATATAAAGAAATAGAACCGGTCAAAAAGGTACATGTGAAGCCTAAGTTTACAACAGTTTTTAATAAACCGGAAAGGAGGTTGTCTATGCCGGAGAACACGGGCGTCAAGGCCAGGCTAGGAAACAAACACGGTGCAAACAAAATGGCTGCTGTAAACAAAATGGCGGATGTCACCAAAAAACAAAATGTACAGAATAAGTTCACTATAACTAGGAACATGTTTAACAGATTGGGTGTTTGATAATAATCATGGTTTATAAATATAATGGTAAGGAAAGGACTTGTACATGTTAAGCATGATTTTTTAATATTTGATAAAATTTTTCAATAATGAGAAGTAACTAAGGTGTTTATGAGTGTTGTAAAGTTGGATTTATTTAATAATCTCTTTTATTTTACTTGACAATATATTCTGTAAAATACATCTGAAAAATATTTGTAATAGAAGACTAACAATGCTAAGTAGGTTTAAAATTTGGATTAATTAATAGTGTATATAGATAATAAATAGTATGTAAAGATTGGAAAATATGAATCTATAATAATAAAATAACTGTCATTACATACATATTCTCATATATAGCTATTTCTCTAATTCTATAATTTGTTGTTCTTATATTTTGTAATTAGTTTTCATTTCCATCAAGGTTTATATCTGTTAAGAATCAAATTATAACATGTCAATTGAATTACCATAATATATTGGTTTAGAAAACAAAATATATAATTCTATGTATAGTATAAACAGAAGTCTTAGTGACATTTTTTTATATTGTGAGCCTGGTAAATTCCTTTGAGTTTTTTCATAGGTTGTAATACTTCTTTAATAATTTAGTCTGTATTTCTCTGAAATAAAAAGCTATTTAATTAGTTTTTTTGGAATAAATGCATTACAAATATTCCTGTTCCCTCTTCTGAAAAATTAGTTTCCAATATGATTTGCGAGTTTCGTCAGAATTCATAGAATTTTATGAGAAAGGAAAAACGCTACATTTTTTAGGACAACATATGCCATAAGAAGAATTATCATCTGTTAAATAACGGTATAAAATATTATTTAATATATTTTGACCTACGAACAACCATTTCAAAGAAATGGCATTTGGACATCTTGATATAGTGCGTTTGATTTAAGCTGAGCTTTGCATTTGTGTGAGTGCACATGGATAGTGTAGGTGTGATGTCAAATTTTTGAATGCCTAGTTCTTATCTAGTTTTGAATCAGTTTATTCTGCTTTTACTCCGCCCCGCACCTTCCTCATTTCACCGTTTGTATTGGTAGCAACTTCAAATGTTGAAAACGCAATGTGCAGTGAAGAAAAATTTGTTTTGTTTTTTTTATAAATTTTTATTATTTTTTTCCATAATATTTCCATTTAGCCTTTTACATGTTTCGCTTATTTTATTTTTAATCTAGAATAACTCTCGCACTTCTGTTTTGTATCTATTTAAATATAATAAAATTGAATTCTAAAAGTTTTTTGTCTAACTCTACTTTTACTTTCACTCACACAAATGCAAAGCTCAGATTAATTCTAACGGACTATAAGATCAAAAATATTATTTGTAAATTGTTTTAACGTCACATGTCAGGCGATATTCTATATTCGCGAAATTTAAAGCGCTTTGTTCTAACTGAGCTTGCGATTCCTTCGGAAACCAACACCCCCAAAAATCACGCCCTCGATACAATAAATATTACGAGCTCACTAAGAATAGGTTCGTCGTAAATTTGTACGTGGTAGAAATGGGAGCGAGAGGTATCACAGCTAAATCTCTCAATAACCTACTGAAAGACTTGGGCCCGTCCAGAACTCACATTAATTCATTCTTAGAACGTACTTCTCAATGAAGAAGAATTCTAAGAAGTTTTCGTCTCTGGTATAGTGTGTAGTGATTCTGCTTAAAACTATTTAATAATATACTTAACCGCAACTATAAAATCAATATACTAATTTGTATAATATTATAAAAATGATGGATTGAGATTCGTAATCCTTCATATTTCTATTTTCTTTTATTCTTCTTGAAGTTGGGAAGCCGGATTCAAGTAATTTGACTCAATATGCATCACGTCTCGTTAAAATCGCTTGTTTGTGGTTTACGAACTACTTACATTTTATTATTCAATGATTAATCAAGTTCCGGTGACGGTTGAACAGCCACGAGTTTAAAAGCAATTATTTTCAATACAAAAATTAATTTTATCTACTGCATACGTAAGGCGGCCAACTTTCCGAAAACTGAATGCGGGACTTAACTTTTCTTGAATGGCGGGAGGGGGGGGGGTTAGGGATTGGGAATGTCATAAAAATCTTCGCAACTGCTCATATTAAATGTAAGTACTCTCTTACGCGTCATGAGTTCAGAAGAATGAAAGAAAACGAGATTATCCCGGGCGCGATACGCTTGTCGCTATTATAGGTAACCTGTGTTCCTGCACTGTTGGCCGTGGTATGGGTGTTGTGGAGAAGTGTGGTAGAAAAATAGGGATGCGGGACATGCGGGAGGCATACAACGTTTTGCGGGACTATTTTACTAATAATTTTAAAGCGGGATTTCGTCTAGAATTGCGGGACGGTCCCGCAGAATGCGGGACGGTTGGCCGCCTTATGCATACGTGTTTTACTCTTACTGAAACCATTACTATACTACACCTAACACAATGATAGTGTCTTCTTAATGGTTACAAACAATAAATAGCAAGAGTAGAGAGAGAGCGAGTGAATTTCCCTTTTTCTTCCTTTTAAACCACATCAAAACAAACTGAACACGTAATGAACACCAATATATTAAGCGGTCGTTGAGTATGTGTGTATTGTAACACTATATCGATGACTTTCCTTCAGCTTTCATCAGTCGGTCATGGCCGCTGACCAGCTCCTCGGACAAAGCGAAAGTTTCTAGGATTATTGTAATCTCTAACTTATTTCAATGCACCTGTAGCTGTCACAATATTTAAAATTAACGAAACGGACACCTCGCAACGTTCTTTATTACTTTTTTTTTGATAATGAAATTTTACGAAATTTATGAACTTGAAATCATTGCAAAAAATTATATTATGAATAGCTACAGTCATTTTAATTTATAAAGAAGGACCCATACATGTTTCACATCCATGTTTTTTGCAAATTTCTTTCACCTTAATAATTTCTCGACACGTTTTAGTAACTAACCACAAGCGATGTCATAATCAATTGTTATATTATTGTCATGAGTTCTTGTTATATAAGATTAATTTAAACAACAAAACATATTTTCTCCAACCGCAAAAAACATAAACTCTCTGAAGATATCTACAAGCAAAGGCTAGTGATACAATTTATAAAGAAAATAGAAAACATTATGAATGAAAGTCACACTATAAAAAAAGTGCTTTTTTTGTTACGATACGATAAAGCCTTAAGTACAATCAATTTATAACAAAAATGTGGATAATAGATAATTTTATCCTCAGCTATTTTAAAGAGATATCATATAAGAAAGCGTTTATTATATAAAAATAAGGGCAACGAGTTAAAATATGATTTTGTGCCCAAATACATCGAGTGATATAACTTTTCACGTCCACTTACAACGGAATAGATAGTTTCAATCAGTTCAGCCATTGTTGAGTTCGGTTACGTTTGAATTTATTTGTTTTGTACAAGCTTTATTTAATGATTATGTCGGGTCTAGTCATTAATAGATGATATAACGGGCTTCACTATGAAGTGGACTGTCTCTTGATATAAGTACGAGGGCTTCGCGCTCTGACGCAGTGCCTCTCCCGTTGTCAACAAAGAAGCATCTCCTACGATGGGGAGACAGGTAAATAATATAGCTAGTTTAAATTGTAGATAACAATTATTTAGATTTATTACTTTTAAAAAGGTTAAAGAAATATTAATTCGTGTTTTTGTTTCAATGGATGGAATATTTTTTAAGCACAGTTTAATTGAAATGTTGAGATAAATTTTGTTTGTTTTTGCCTTATTTTAATTTCAAATAAAGTAGTTACTGAAAAGTGTACTTAAAAGATTAAATAAATGTTTATATCTCTAAAATGTAAACTACTTCAGGATCAAACTTACAAACCATCTATTTCTTTTTTTGCATTACAGTTTATTTTACAATTAAATATATTATTCAAATTAACGTTTTGGATATACTGTTTCATATTAATTAACATTTTTAAAGTATATTGCATTACTTATTTATTTATTTTACTTTTTTATGGTCTCTACAATTACATATACTAGATATTAATCTCCACGTAAAGAGACTTTTTGCCAACGTTGTTGCTGTATCAGTATTTTATTTTCTTTCATTTCATTTTTAATTTGAAACTATATGTATTTAATTCACATCTCCTGCATTTGAATAGGCATAAATAATTTATTTTACTCAGGTTAATATGTATTTGATAAATGTGTTTCTTCATGTATAAAATTTATATTGTTTCAGGTAATAATTAGTTGTCTATGCTTGCTCGTGTTAGACAAAACACAAGCAAAAGCCTTGAACGGTCATATTGACAATGTGAACTCCAAAAGTTATCAACGATTATATAAAGACAGATCCTTCGATGTTTACGCTAGCGCCACTCCATACGCTGCCTACTCCTTCAACGTGCCAACGTTTGCAGTTCCAAAGAGTAATGTCATTCCCGTTAAAGAAGAAAACGTCGTAGTACAAAATGTGAACGGATATTTAAGGGATTCTTACGGTCAAAGATTTGTTCAAGCTCCTCAGACTTTGGCTTACAAGTCTACAATACCGCAACAATTTGTTCAGCTTCAAAATTTGCCTGCACACCTGAGCCAGCCATTAGTTGCCGCCGCCCCTAGCATACATTATACAACACAACCCTTCTTCGGTCAGAGATTACCAAACTTCCAGGTATTTTCACATACACCTGTAAATTTTGTGTCTCCACAACATCTTATTCAAACAAATAATGTACGAAATGTGGCTCCGTCCTCTGCATTGAACGCTCAGTATAGAACTCCGTACACTTCTCAAGCTTCTCAATATCAAACTCCTATCAACAGTGATGTTACCCAAACTCAAAATGAACAAAAAATACGGGAAGAACAAAAAGTTTCAGCCAGCAATAACCGCCAAAATCAGCAGCAGCAACAACAAATAAACCAACAAAATAATTTGCAATTATTACAAGTTCCCAAAGAAAATCATTACACAAATATAAATAACGGACAGAAGCCTCTACCATTATTGGACTTAACTTTATTAGAACCTTTAAAGTTTTCAAACCCCATAACACCGCAAGTACAGCATTATTTGCCAAGAATAAATAATGTTAAATATGAAAAACTGCCAGAAGTTGATGTAGTGAAGAAACATCAAATGGAATTTATAGTACAAAATACGAAATCGTACGACAGTGACTCAGTGAAACCAAAGCCTAAAAAAGAGGGAACGAAAAAGAAACAAAAGAAACATAATACACAAAATATTATACATGAAGAGGGCGTGCCTGAAACCCCAACTGTAAGTAATCATGATACTCAGGAAGAAAATCCCGAATTCACCTACGAAATCAATTCGCCTAATTATAAGGAAACTTATACAGAAAAAAAAGTGAGCTACAATAAAGAAACACAACCGGAACCAGTACATATTAGTTATAACGAACAAAGTGAAGTCAAACCGAAGCATTATGTTTACGAAAAACGTAAGGAAATACATCCTGATAGTTACAACCATGTGCATAATTCAAAACCGGCGATTCAGGGAACTCAAGAATATTACAGTTCTCCCAAACAAACTCCTAAACATCACGTACAAGACAATCACGAAAATAAATATGGACATAATAATAAGATCCATACTCCATCAGCGGATTCAGGCCAGTCACATAATGTCGGAAATAAAGGGATAAAGCACACCAGAGAAGAAAATCATAATAACAAGAACCACGATGGAAATAGAGGATCCCCTAAACACTACGACAGACCGCAGCAGGGACAGGTGTATTATCATTCAGAATCTGACGAAATACCACTGGCATTCAACACAAAACATCAAAAACCTCAAAACAGCTTTACACATAATGAACCAAAACATTACCAACCAATAACACCTGAATACGAAGAAGATATTAAAGATTTATCCACACACCAACCTCACAGTCAGCGACATCATGATGACAATGAGAGGAGATACCCAGCTCCTCAGACTGGCGGTCATCAGAACCAGGACGAAAATAAGTCCTATTACTTTCCATCCCCTATCGTTGTAGAAAATTCAAAAAATGTTAATGATAAAGAATCACCAGAGCCCAACGAAGAACTGATGGACCAAATGGTAAAAAAGATGAGAGAGAATGAAGAAGATTTTGAAAAAGCATACAAAGATGCCGCTTACGGTTTCCCAGCGTTCGACACGTCTTCGTACGACGCTGAAAAAAATATTTATAATCCCGAATCATACGGCTCGACGAATTATTATAAAGAGTATGATCACGAAAAAAGCCCATTAATACAATACGAAGAGGATGGAGACGATTTCCCAAAATATACGCGTGCACAATATAAAAACAACAGGGATAAAGTAAACGATGAATATTTTGATCACTACGTGGCTCGCAAACCCGAGAGTATTGCAGACAGGAACAATAGAAAAGAGGAATACTATCAGACATTCATAAACCATCGACCTGAATACTACTTCGGTAATGAGCAAAACGATAAAAATGAAAAGGCAAAGTATACGGCCGTACCAAATTATAACTTCAATGCACCACAAAGAACTCAAACGTATCAAAAAGTAAATCATTCACCCCATCATGGTGGATATGATCTATCAGCGCAAACTCCAAGCGATAACTCTCCCTATGGAACTCAGGCTTTTCAAAGATACAAAAGTAAAACACAATTCGTAGAGCCACAATATCAGTATGGCTTCGAACCAGTGTCTATACCTCAATTGTTAGACAGTGAAATGAGTGTAATGGCGAGCGTCATAAGTCCCAAAAACGAACACCCAGACACGAGGAAGAAGGATTTTGTAGACAATAACAGTTGGCTCGTCAAAAAACATGTCACAAAAGCGAAAGTGTCCAGCTGATAGAATATAATCACATTATTTATTATATATATTTAAAATTAAATGTAATTTTTAGGTTTATAATAATCAATGTTAATAAAATGTATGTTTTAATTTACAAAACCTGGATTAATAGCCTTTTTTTCAACTGGAATCTCTTAAAATGTTTCATAATACAACTTTCCCCGTCAATATATTACGTGACATCTATTTCTTATCATTTCGTAAGAAATAAAAAACCTGCCCACTTTATTGAGTCGGTAACTGTAATGGAAACAAAGTAAAAAAAAGGAATCAAATTCTTCACGCTTTTGTGCCTTAGTAAATCTGAAGAAATGTCTATAAAAACAGTTTTAATAAAATTGTTTTCAACAAAAAATAACCGTCTTTTGTGAGTCAAAACTTGATATTTATTATTTCAGTTAATTAAAAGTTTCAACATTATAAATAGCTTATAATTGGAATCAAGTAATTTTATTCTGTCAATAAAATGAATTGAATTGTTTGCAATACAGTTTTTTCTTATATTAGTGTACCTATAATTGTATTTTAATTTACAATATTTGTCTCAAATTAATATGATTAATGAAAAATTAGATTTTTTTAAATTCCAACTTAAAAGAAATTACAAAATAGGATATTTGTCGACATTAATGATAGGGTAACTAGCTATTAACAGTAAATGAGGTTGTTTAATTCATAAACCTTATTTCACATGTCGTTCGATGTACAGGAGGTAAGAGTAATAATATAAATATGTTAATATTAGAACCTCGTCTGAAATCAAAGTGTATAACCTCCCTTTTTTAGTGAGGGTGTCCCACTAAGAAACAAATAAAAATGATGAAGGAACTACTTCGTTCTCACATAAGCTAACATTATTGCACTAGGACTTAGTACGACCTCATATCTACTAGAATAGATTTGTTAAAATATACTATAAGATTTCTTCACCCAGCATTCAACCGGTACGATGTAGCCAAAGTTGAGTTTAGAATTGCTTACAGTCACGGGAAAGATGTATGATGATCAGAAGCTGTTCGCCGTGTTGTAAAAACTTCACTTGCTAAAGTTAACCATTCAATTAATGAACTATCTCTGTGGAGTTTTAGTGATAGAAATGAAAACCTTCTGTTATAATAAATTAAATATGATATACCTATCATAGATGATGCAGCTTTGCATTTTTTTTCGTTTCGTTTGAAAGAAATTTTGGTGCAACTAGAGTGAAGAGACATCATCGCGTCGGTACCGAACTGTTTTTTTTATATGAGTTCTGTTTTCAGGTCCGATCTAATTATTTTGATAACAAACACCCCAGATAACTCGACTATCGAACAAAAAACTTCGTCTTGATTGTACATTCGGTTGCCGAGATCATCTCCGTGGATGAATTACCTGAGTCACCTTTATATTGTCCGCTCGCTTTTCCAACAATGCTATATAATGGAAGTAGGTTTGAATGCTGTGAATATGAACATGCTGTGCAAAAATATAGTAATTAATTAAATTATAACATCACACACAAATTACATAATTTTGTAACATATAAAAATCAGTTTCAGAGGTCACGAGCACTCCAAAATATAAGATATTTTTTTTTTAATATAATTTTGTTTAATTGGTTTATACTATTTTTTTCACATATTTAATTGGATCGCTACAAGCTAATTGTATTGTTACAGTATGCTTCCGAAGCTTTTTTTTGGAATTTTTAATTATTTTCAGTTATTTTAGTGAACACTATTCTCACCTCTATCCTGTAGTGATTGTTATTAGATTATGAGCATTTTCACAATACTTTTTTAATTTATTTAGTAAAAACCAACATTGAGGGTTACCGTTATTTCCTTTAACTATTCTACTTAGAAAATTACGAAAAATCGAGTTTACAACTCTTTAATAAGAAAAACAAAAATGACTCGTGTAATATTAATCACCAAAAACATGCCTGTTAAAAAGGGGGCCAAGTTCCAATCGGCTAATTGTTTGCCTAAAAAAGGGGTGAAATCCAATCTAATGCCAAGTTTAGATGCACTTTGAAATCGATCATAATCATCTTCATCAACAGCATGATCCACTGGTAAACATTTGCCATTCCCAAGACTCGCCACCACACCCAGTTCTCTGCCTTCCACATCCAGCCACTACCCGCCACCTTATTCACGTCAACGGTCCATCTGGCCGAAATTCACTTTACCATACACCCAACTAAAAATATGGAATAGTTGTGAAAATACGTAGGTGCTTGGTTAAAATATCTAAAATTATAATACTTCTAAATTTGAACTTGGCAGGTTTTCGTGCTGTACGTAACACTTAATTAATTGTATCATTAATTTTTTATTTATATAATTAAATTAACCTGCTATAACTATATATATATCAGTTCTTAAGAAGCGCCCCACACTTTTTTCACAATAATATTAATTTAAAAATAAATTAACAAACAATAAATGGTATTTTTGTGAAAAAAAGCGTGGGGAGCTTCATATATCACTTCTTGAGAAGCGCCCCACGATTTTTTCCAATAATACCATTTATTGTTTATTTTAAATTAAATTGATTTCCAAGGTTGTAAAGGTTAAATTAGTTTCCACGCGGTTTCTTTCATCATTGGAGCGTGTTTTTTAGTTTTCTTTAAACTATATATATTTTTTATTTTTTAGTTTCATTTGTCACCGATTGATTTTTACTCATATTATTAATTAATAATATTTAATTATTATGTATTTTATTGTGCTGAGCTGAGCGCCTATATAAAGGTTTTGATTACCTGTCAGTGAGTCAGTGCCAAAATTAGCTATATTCACAGGGTCATATTTCAGGATCTACTGAAGCTTTATCTATGAAATTTGGCATACTGCTTTAGTACTAGTATATGATTACGTAGGTACAATTTTATCTTTGTCCTTGCAATAGGCACAGAGCTACAGGGGGTCAAAAGTGGGTCGAATTTATTAAAAATTCGATATTTAGATTTGAGGCAACTCACGCTTGACCGATTTCTTAAATTTATTAATTTTTTGTTAATCTACATATAACACACAACCTGTGTACCAAATTTCATAATGCTAAAACAATGGGAAGTGGCCTAGAGGTTTTGATTACCTGTCAGTGAGTCAGTGCCAAAATTAGCTATTTTCACAGGGTCATATTTCAGGATCTACTGAAGCTTTATCTATGAAATTTGGCATACTGCTTTAGTACTAGTATATGATTACGTAGGTATAATTTTATCTTTGTCCTTGCAATAGGCACTGAGCTACAGGGGGGTCAAAAGTGGGTCGAATTTATTAAAAATTCGATATTTAGAATTGAGGCAACTCACGCTTGACCGATTTCTTAAATTTATTAATTTTTTGTTAATCTACATATAACACACAACCTGTGTACCAAATTTCATAATGCTAAAACAATGGGAAGTGGCCTAGAGGTTTTGATTACCTGTCAGTGAGTCAGTGCCAAAATTAGCTATTTTCACAGGGTCATATTTCAGAATCTACTGAAGCTTTATCTATGAAATTTAGCATACTGCTTTAGTACTAGTATATGATTACGTAGGTACAATTTTATCTTTGTCCTTGCAATAGGCACTGAGCTACAGGGGGGTCAAAAGTGGGTCGAAACGGTTCGTGTAAATACAGTGCACGGCATGCGCCGGCCTGTGGAACTTGGCCGGCGCACTACCGTGCGCTTAGATAAAAATACCGTAAAGTAATTATAATACCTATAAAGTAATGGCAAATGTTTGTCAAAAAGAGGATAAGTAAGTTGAAGCAATAACTACGAACGGTGATATATTTATACAACTATGTAGTTTACTAGAATTGAGAATTAAAAAATCTGTTGAAATTTAATATTTCAAAAATGTAGTTTTATTATGTGACAGTGGGGATAACTTCACGACGGAGTAACTTCATAAAGAAGAAAAGAAAAGCATTCTTAGATCTTATTCATCTTTAATTATAAAATACATAAAGCTGTCATCTAGTGTACATTCAAAAGTTGTATCGATTCAACAATTCATTAACTCACAGTACTCATACATTAAACTGTACAAAATCAAAACAATATTTCAAACTATATTGAACAAGCAGTTTTGTCATAATAATTATTTTAAACGCCATCTTGTTATGTTAAAGGTAAATAGTCATTTCCAAAAAGTAATTTATTTACATAAATATGAATTAACATTCTTATATGAGGATTAAGAATAGGTTTATTCTAATGTATATTGAAATTAATTACAATAAATTACATTCATTGAATGATTATATGAAAAGTTTATTTATTTATGTATGTAAAAATATAACCTCTTTAATATTTCTTGTCACATAATCTACAGTCCATAACCAGTATATTTTATTGAATATTAAATATTATCAGCTTACATTCATATTTAACAAAATCTTATTATATATAATGGAAATTACTTTGTTGACCGGCTTCAAAAAAAAAGAGAAGGTTGTAATATTGTTTCATTACACCTTATAACAAGTTTGAATCGTCACACTATATACGAGGCGTTACCAGTTTCAAATCTTCACGCAAAGTATGAAAGTAAATAGAGGAAGTAAAAATTTCAAAACGCTCTTTATAGTATATAGTGGACTAACTTTCAAATATTTTATATTTCATGGCCCAAATAAATTTATATATTTGAGAAACAGTTAATGACCATCGAATTGTTTTATATTAGAGTTACAAATCTTTGATGTTTTAAAATAGACTTGCAACGAATACCGAATATACGGTCAGCAATATGACCGAATAGACTAATATTAGAAAAAAGTAAAAAGGTTCCTAAAACTTTACAAAACTTGTGTTTCTGCGCTATAATCTTCCACCTAACAAATTTGATTATGAAAAATATTAAAATGCATAGAAAAATCTCCATTATTCTAGTACAACAGATAATTTTGTACTATTGCTATGTAGTATGTACCAATGACTACATAAATATGTTCTTATATAGTGAATCGTATATTTTTTTAAACCAAAATAACAATGACCGAATATTCGTTGTAAGCATAATTTAAGGTATGTATATTTCTGATACATTTTGATACGAAGGCTTGAAAACGTTTAAAAATGATACGATCCTTACATTTTTACAGTTGTAATATTGTAATGTTTATTATGTTGATATAAAAATAAATATTAAATCGTATTCTGATAACTTATTAATTACAACTAAATAATTTGGTTTTAATGAATTTATTACAATATACAATTAGGTATTATATAATTATTTTCTTTCGGACTGACTAGTAGAAATTGTTAAATTTATTTAAACTTTTAAATCCTCCGACAAAAGAGGTTAAATATATACATATTTATTGACGCATAAAGGCAACATTCGTAGACTATATATTTTTCATAATAACAACATTTAAAAGAGGCGGATAACCTGAACGATTTTAACTCTTCTAATACACTCCACTATCTTCGTTTTCTATTATTTCCTGGACTCCCGTTTAGCTCCTTCTGTCTTTTAAACAGGCGCATGGTCATAACGACTGTGGCAAAACCTAGACATAGAGCTACTAACGCTAATATGAGAACTGCTAGAGGTATCTGCATAGTTTTATTTTCTTCGAATAAAATTCCAAGACGAGCGACTGGTCTCAGTATTTTGACGACTGGCTCGCATCCTGATTCACGCACGTATTTCGCCCAAGTTCTATTGGCGTACGTCAATTCTCTGGGTTTGACGAACGGCCTCCTGCCTAGTACGGTTCTGTTTGTGTTCAAAGTCTTATTGCGCAGTTGTGTTTCATTGTAGCGGCAGTAGAGATTGTTCTTTTTCTTGTTGCCTTTAACAACGATATCTTTTTCCGCACTCTTCGCTCCCACCAGCACATCCAAGTTACCTTTGATCATGTTCGCCCAGTCCCACATCTCGGCTATCTTACAATCACAACTGAACGGATTACCGATCAGGTTGATTGAATATAATTTAGGATTATTCACAAACAACTGTGGGTCTATAGTCGTTAAATTATTGTTACTGAGGTTTATTTTCTCCAGATGTTGAAGTATTTCCAAAAATGACAAACTGCCTTCATCTGATTTTATTTTGTTGCCCGATAGATTTAATTCGGTTAAGTTCATTGTGTTTTTGAAAGCGTCTGGATTTAGCGACGAAATATTGCAGTTGCTCAAATCTAGGACGACTACTTGTGATAGAATTTTTGGGAACAAAGGTCCTGTTGGAGGTATGACAAGCGGGTTACCACCCAGTCTAATTTCTCGTAGATCGCTGTACGTAAGATTTTTAAAGAAAACGTTGGAGTATAGTGGCCGTTTCAAACCGCAAAACTCTAGTTCCAATGTCGTTAACTGTGTCAAATTCCCGAACAACCCTGCTTCTAAGGACAGCAGATCGTTTCCAGATAGAACTAGTTTCTTCAAAGACGTCATATGAGCAAATGTCTCTGGTCCAATGTAGGACAGATTGCTGTAGCCCATATTAAGATATTCTATTTTCTCCAAGGGCGCTAGTAATTTTGCAAACACGTTTACAAGAGGGTTATGAGAAATGTCTAATTCGAGAAGGTTCTCGAATACATTAAAGCTGTCCGGCAAACTGCGAAGACCGCAGTTACTTAAGAACAGTTTCTCAATTTTCGGTAGCGGAGACAACGCTTCTTCTAGATCTGGTGCGAAAAGTGGGTTTCCAGATAGAAAGAGAGTTTTTAACCTTGTCGCGTTAGCAAAAGCTTCTCCTGATAACGGACGTCGTATCTTACAATTAGACAAGTCCAATAATTCTAAATTATTAACGCTGTTTCCCAGTATCGCCGCCACATCCAAGTCCCGTAGTTCATTTTCAGCTAGTATAAGTGTAACTAGATTTGTGCAATTGGAAAATGTGTCTTCAGACAGCGACGTTACAGCTGATTTTCGTAAATTAAGATACTCGAGCCTCGAAAGTGTTCCGAGTAATTCTGGCCAGTTCATATTCGATAGATAATTGCCGGCGATCTCCAAATTTTTCAGATTGACCAAAGCCGAAAATACATTTTCAGATATATTGGTCAACTTACAGTCATTTAGTTTCAGCGTTTCCAAGCTCGTTAGGACGTCGAACGTCCCGCTTTCAAGTACATTAAGTGGATTATTGGAGAGATCGAGGGTGTTGAGAGACGTGATGTTGTCGAAGAACTGAGGATTGATTGTTGATAGGTTGCAATCGCTGATGTCCAAGTATTGAAGAGTACTGGACACGAGGAACGGACCTTCCACGAACGTCAAGGGATTACCTTGGAGTTCAACATTTAGGAGTCCGTGTGAGTTGCTGAAATAAAAATAATATAAATTTAAATAAAACTTTGTTAATATAAATTAAACAACCCTTTTTCATGTGGACATTAAAATAATATTATGATTCGAGCTCACTAAACGATAGGCAAATTTAATAGACGTAGATTTTCAAAAAGATAGACAGGAATCCAACATATAAAATACCTAACAACAAATTAATATGGCCAATTGGAAACCACAGCTGCCTTGATTTATTGCTAAGGAGAGCACAAAGCTTCTCTAGGTAGTCATTTAATTTTGCATTCTTGCTGATCCATTATCTAATATTGACACACAATGGTCGGTCGGCGCAGCAAGTTCAAAGCAATTGGTTCAATTTCGATGTCACAGTCAATGTAAGTCACGAATGTCATGTACAACTGATTCGTGGGAAACGTAGAACGTAAACAATTAGTAATTACTACGAGAAATAGCAAAAATATTACGTGAATGTGTAAAGGTTTTAATTTGGTGAAATATAACACATTTATTATAATTAATTAGTTACATAATATAAAATAACTTTTTAATAATATACTCAACAATGATTGTAGAAAATGTTTTGTTCTTCAACTTCATCAATCATTGGTACGCTATTGGAAATAAACTTTTGAAATTCCTAAGACGTAAATGTTTTCTGAACCTGACGTAATTTGATCTACTCTACTTCTACTGACGGAATTCTAACTGCTAAGATATGATAAAAGGTATTCACGATACATGACCCTTTAAAGAATGTGACCCTCGTATTAAATGGACTGTGTTGATATCTGAAGTCATAGATCGCTAGGCTAGGATCATAGACTTATTGTTATAAAGCTAAAATCCTCTCCTCTTCCCGATAATTCAAAGGCAAAGATATTCTTCTTTTTCATGAAAAACATTAATATCTGCTTAACTATAACAATAATTCCGTACTACATGAAAAACCCGTAATATACAAATATTTCTTTCTAAAATATCTTTCAATATTAAACTTTTCATAATTCTTCTAACAAACATTAATAATCCTATATCCTGTTCTTCAGATATTAATCTGCTTATCCATCGATTGTCATACGCTAGAATGTAAATTGAATGAAAGTTAGTTATGGGAATAATAAAACGTGTTTCATACAGACTCCTGCACATCATTCGACGACGAATTACTTTACTTTTCTTATCCAAATTCACATTTTTAATAATCACCTATAATTTACAAAAAAAGGATATGTCTGTCTTTCTGACACACTTTACTGTTGGAAAAAAAATTACAGCTCCCTATTTATAAGTTGCTCTAACATTTTATTATTAACAGTCAGCATACGTCAAATCTTAGATAATCTCTCTTCTCTTAAGAAGTTTTTATTGTAAAAAATTAAAGTTATACTTACAGAAATGCTTCTGGATCGACGTAGCTTATATTATTTCCGGACAGATCAACATCTATCAGGTACTCTAGACCTTTGAAGGCCTCTCTGTCTACTCTGGTTAGTCTATTATTAGCTATCTGGAGCCTCCTCATCTTGATATCACTTGGGAAGGTCTGTAGCGTGGTGATGTTGTTCCCATTAAGGTCAAGTATATACACACTGAGACTCAGTTCATTATACGGAACTTCTGTGAGGTTGCTCTCTGAACAGTCTGTGACCCAGTTGATCCTGAAGTAATGGCAGTCACATTCATCAGGACACTCCAGTTCAAAGCTATCCCCATTGAAACAAGAACAGACGTGGGAAACTATCAGGCAGAGAAATACAGTCGTGACAAGAGCCATTTTATAAAAACTCTTCAATGATTAGCCGCCTCCATTTCAACTGTAGCTATCTGAAAAGCAAAAATATTATTTATATTAGTGGGTTTCCCTACATCGATACTACAGTTTTCATATTACTTATAATTTAATAATATAAAAAGCCATTTTCATTAGAATCTAAAACTATTTCAACAACGATATTTTGAGAGAATAACATTAAACCAATATATAGATATTGAAGAGACGATAATCGTAAAAGGCTTTATTAAGTACTAGCTTTTGCCGCGACTCCGTCCGCGTGGAATAGTGACTTCCGACAGATTTTTGGTTCTTCCCACATAGTTCCCGTTCTTGCGGGGTTTTCGGAATGGTCGAGTTCCCGTAGAATTTTCAGGATAAAACCTATGTTTTTATTATTCACAATGAAGTTCTCTTAATCAACAACATATTTATTTGTTTATTTGAATAAAGATTAATATTATTATGTTGATACAACTTAAACAAATTTAAAATTTAAAAATAAAAATTAGGTACCATAAAAACGGTTTTTGTGAGTTAATATTAAAAGATAGACATATACTGTTGCGGACTGTTTTTTAGATCATTAAAAGAGCTAATATTCTTTCATACATATTTTTTGTGCATCTTGAACCGTTTTCACGGCGCACGCAACGAAAGGCTTTAAAGATGAAATAATTTCTCCCGTTTTTTACACATTTACCACTATATATTTGCTCCTATTGGTCGCAGCGTGATGTTATATAGCCTACAGCCTTCCTCGATAACTGGACTATCCAACACAAAAAAAATTATTCAATTCGAACCAGTAGTTTCGGAGATTAGCGCTTTCAAACAAACAAACAAACTCTTCAGCTTTATAATATTAGTATAGATTTGGGGCCGCCGCCTTTGATATATTCTGTAAATTAAAATTTAAATTAAAACTTCCTTTCAATTCTTATTTCTTTCGTTGAATGGGTTTGTTATAGTAATAAGTTCATTTTAATCAAAATGATTTTTAAAAATTGAAGTACGAAAACAACTCTTTAAATTAAACTTGTAATACCTGTAATTAAAAGAACATCTTAATCATATTTTTATAAAACGAATTAAAATTAGCAGTAAAAAAGAGTTAAAACTTCTTTTATATTTCATACATACAGATGTTATAATTGATTTATAGCAATCTTTATCCCTACTAATATTATAAATGCGAAAGTAACCCTGTCTGTCTGTCTGTTACGCTTTCAAGCCTAAACCACTGAACTGTTTTTATTGAAATTTGGTACAGAGATAGAGTTGACCTTGAAAAAGAATATAGAATAGTTTTTACCCCAGACTTTTGAAAGGTTCTCTTGGAAACGCGATATAACCGAACTCCACGCGGGCGAAGCTGCGGGCAGAAAGCTAATTGAATATAAGAAATTAGATTAATGATATAAAAAATAATAACAAATATTACAGACGCTGTATAAAATGAAAATTTATTACTCAATTCGCACGTAGACATCAGAATATAAAGATAGTTCTACAAAGTAGGCTTTTGTCTTTACCTTAAGTCTTTAATACAAGCTTACAGTCATATGAAGCTTTGATTATTTCTCAAGCAGTAATCTAAGTTCCTATAATGCGCAAAAGTTTTATTACAGAAAAACTGTCGATACTCCGTTGTATTGTGACGATGCTAAATTGGGGTAATTAAAATAAACAGAAATACAACAAGAAGTCAAAACACTACATAAATACCATGGTTTTGTTGACATGTGTATGTGTACATTTGACTATCGGAAGTACATTAAGACATCTTTAAATATTAATAGGACAAAAAGCAATGTATATTTAATACAAATATTTTTTCCATCGTTCATGAAATACAATAACAAATCGAAAACTTAGATATTTATTATATAAGTAGAGCATTTAAAATATTGTACGAGAAAATCAAATTTTACTATAAATTGTGATACAAATAGTTTAAATAGCAACTGGCATTGTAAATGTCACTTGTAGCGAAGTCATAGCATACATAATTAAAAAAATATATGTCTCTAAGTAATACTGTGAAGAATATTGTCAAATTTCTTCTATAAATAATAAAAACATAGTTTTAAGTAAGTGTTATAATTTTATCTTTATGGTCTTCGATATTAATAGATCGTAATATTTTTATGACGTTACATCTGTAGGTCGTAAAATATTTGCGATTTATTGTTTCATTAAACGCAAGTAAATAAGGTGAAGACAATTTTTAAGTTAACTGTTAGATATAAAAATGAGATCAACCTCATTATATGATCTCATTACAAAAAAAAACGTCATAAAAAAGTCTATGTCTAAAATTATATTAAAACCTTTTTATTAAATTAGCACAGATTATATTAAGTCTTATTGGTTATAATAATTTATTTTCAAAATAACTTTATGTATTATTAGTTTATGATAATTTTCAAAAAAAAAATATTTTATGATATTTTAAAGATAAAAATACATTGGAATTATTCAAACGTCTTTTTTAAATTCTTTTTTTCAAAAGAGGATCTAATAACTGATAATAATTATTGTGATGTAAAATAATGAAAAAAAAAATTGTAAAGATTGCAAAATGTTATTTCGTGTTTCCTGTTAATTGTATGTAAGTTCTTTAATAAAAAATTATTTCAAATAAGATAATTTAATATTCTTTACACTAATTCAAACGTGTGCGCAATTTAATCAAAAAAGAATTCCCAAATTATCTGAAAAATGAAACTAATATTTTTCGGATTATACTACGCGTATTTTGACTTTCCCATTTCGTCTGTCCGTGATCACGGTTGCTTAAAAGTTATCAAAACGTCGGGAGTATGTAGTTTTAAAACTAATAAAATACGCGTAGTATAATTCCAAAAATATAAGTTTCATTTCAACTCGCGAAAGTCTTAGATCTCATTATTTGAAAGAAATTGTATATTTAGAATACTATGGTGAAAAAATTACAACTATGCAAAATGCATATTATTCGTTAACTAAGAAGAAAAATTGATTTTTTAAAACTGTAGATATATATTACAAAGAAGTTCTAAACAACTTTATGCCAAGCTGCGGACAGTGGTCGAGACGCTACAATAACTCGACAATCGCAGTAATGGCCGTCATCCTGCCGGCTGGGATCGTTTCCCGCCAGAATTTTCCAGAAGCATAATTCACTGTGATTAGGTCAAACGTTCATTATACCGCTACGTTATCATTATTATATTGGACTTTTAATATCTGGGGATTAGAAGAAAGATGAATGAGAAATATAAGCCTTGCATTTAATATTACGTACACAGCTTAGATAAGTGTGTTGGCTGAACGATTTAAACTGTCGTTTGTTTTTAATAAACTGCGGTGAGCGGGTGAAGTAAGGTTATGTTCGTAATACCACTTTAATGATTAATAGTTGCAATAGGAAATACATTGTATTTTCTTTTAAATCCCCATATAACGGTAGCATTAGGTTAAGCTTTATGTTGCTAAATTTAAGAATATTAACCAAAGGGCAAAGTACAAAATCTAGAAAAAAATGTTGTTATACACCTTGGATGCAATATGTTACCCTTTATGATTCATTGCCCGTAAAAACAGTGAGTCAGTACAACGACAAAGGATTCGCTGACGTTAAAATGTAGAAATGATTTTAATTGCATAATGTCGTGTAGTCGTATACTTATACATACATTTTATTATGAAATTCACCATCCATTTAAATAATATGGATTATTAACAAACAATAAACCGACAACAATAAAAAAATGTTGATAATATTTTACGTAGATTAAAAAGGCAAGGAAAAATCTAGAAAATATTGTTGTTTTTAAATTTTCAGTATATAAAAACAAACCATTCTAACCGCATAGCAACTATATTGAAATTAAATATGTTTTTCATATTAAATGTATCTAAATAACGTCATAAAAATATTTTACGATACAATTATGTAATGCATTTTTACATTTATTATTTATACCTACACATATATGTGGCAGAACAAGCCACGATTTTGAATTATTTGACGTTTCTTGTCAACAACAATTGTGTACATATGTTTCACATATAGCTCAATGTTTTTATTATTCAACCACCGATGTTGTTTATAACTAAACATATATACCTATATATATTTTAATTATCATTTAAGGTAGCTATTATTATATATTTAACTTAAACTCACTAAAGAACAATAAAAGTTAATAATATTGCATTACGTATTTGTTTAACCTTGCCTTTAGGAAGCTAAATAAAACTAGATTCTCCGGTTCAAACAGTTTACTATTATGATTTCAAGAACTTAATATAGAAATGAAAATATTTACTCAATATGTTTTTAGTTTTTACTAATCCTTGTGTAAACTAAAAACATTTTTGTTGTATATATCTCTAGAAATAGATTAAAATCTATATAAAAAATTAATTTAAAAAATATATATATACGAAAGAAAATGACAACAAGCAGTCGTCTTTATTAAATTATAACACTGTCATGAGTCCTGCGCAATTGAAAATAAACATAATTAAGTTGAAACCGTTAATTGAATAAACGAGATACTGAAAAAAATTATATCGTATACAGCCGGTTTAACTTAAAATATAAAGCTTGATAAAAACAGGTAAAATTATTATAATTATTATACATTTTCAGTTTAGAGTCGTAAAATAATACTTACTTGTATTATATTAAGCAACGTGATGTCGCTACAAGCGGCGACTTAGTACTGGTCAGTACTCAGTGGGGCTGTACCTACTGCATTAGAGATGTGTAGATATATACTATTATTGATAAATACGCATATTAATTCAAACAATAAAACTGCTGTATTGAAGTCGGCAAGGATTTTTCAAACGCTTGTTAAATTAGCTGTCGATAAATTTAGATTATTACGGAAAATTTTACGTTTCCCTGACTCTATAAAGATGTTTAATTTATTGTAAGATAGGCATGATTAGGTAAATAGTGTCCAGCAATAAGATATAGATAATTATTATTTGATGAAATTTGAATTGGTTTCAAAAATCCAGCGGTGAAAAAGACAAGAGGTGAGGATTCATACACATTTACCATCCTTATTAACTAATCAAACATCTATATTTTCTCGTGATAACAGTGACAAAAATAATTTACACATCCGACTTTAGTACACAAAATGCCAAATTTCTTACTTGGAGTTTAAAATTATTTTTCAGTTATATGTAGCTCTTAGAAAATATTTTTTGTGTTACGCCTCGACAATAATTACCTCTATGGTTACTAAGTTACAATTTGTTTCTTAATTTTTAAAGGCGTTTTTTAGAGCCGTTATTAAAAGTATTTCAAATACATACCTATTCATAAGAATAAAGCCTTTGGGAGTAGAAGTTATATATAAAAATGCCATAATCATGCTTCTTTTAAAAAAAATTAAATCCAACAGAGACGAAACATCTCAGCATTCAATGGATTCGCCGTTTTGGGGCCGATCCGGGTCCATCGCGTTGTAGGGAGAGGAGCTTTAACAGTGCCTGGGACTTGCGACTAAGGTGTAGGTTTAAGGAGCCCCTATCTAACCCGCGTTAAGCGCTCACCTCTACTGTCCAAGCTCCTCTCTCTGCCTAACCAAATTTAAAAAGAAGGGCTGCCTTCGAAGTTACTTCCAAGAATGAATTAATGTGAGTTCTGGACAGGCCCAAGTCTTTTAGTGAGTTGTAGAGAGATTTAGCTGTTATACCTCTCGCAAATACAATTTTATTTTGAGGCTATACCAGGTTTTCCTGTTTTTTTTAATAGTTAAATTTTGAACTTTAGTTTTCATCATTAGCTTATAATTAAATATTTTCAAGTAAAAAGTTTGTTAATTAAGGAAATAAAGAAAATTTTACTTATAATCTAGTCTCATATAGACAATAATAATATATTACTATGGATCTACGATTTTATTTTCGATTTGAATTTAGAAGAAGAAGAAGAAGAAATTTAAAAAGAGCTACTATAATAATTTGTGTCAAAATACTTGCTTTCCAGGCGCTGTTGGAATCAGAAAAGTCTATTTAACATATTGACATTGACATTCCACAAATAACTGTAGGAAAAAAATATTTTAAGTTATTATTTAATCAATTTTAGCGAAAAAAACAAAGCTTTTACAAGAATCTTGTTAATTTTGAGTTATTTTTAACCTAATTTTGTAATGGCTCAAGGAACATCCCAATCAACAGACGAGGATTCATTGAAAATCCTTTTCGATAATACGATGAAGTTATTTGATAAAATAGAAAATGGAAATGAAGCAACAAACAGTGAGCCGGTGCAAGTAAGGATAGAGTTATTTTCATTTATATTAACCTAAATATCACGAAAATGTTGACACACAATATCTTCTCCTTCTTTAGTTAGTGGCGATTCACAAACACACAATATCTCGGGAGGCAATTTTTTTATATAGTTTATAGGTAGTAAAACTAACAATGATAGATTTTTAGTCAATGGTTCTTTTTTCACTTATATATTGTAATTTCTCGTAATTGTATGTCAATAATAATATGTTTTTATTAATTTACAGATGAACATAAAACTAGCTATATCAAATTTTGAAAAGGCAACAAATTTAGTATCAATCTCTGGTATGTTTAGTAAAAATGAATCTCTGGAAGAGCTCCCGACTGAGACGCTTCAGTATCTACTACTACCGGCACTGCTTGGTACTTTAAGTTTAAAGTTGTGCAATCAACCTCGGAAAGATATTGTCAATGTTGCCGAGATATATTTTAGGTATAATATTACTATTATAGCATTCAAATATAACAACTTAAAAAGTTTTGATAGGTAAAATCTTGGAAATTATAGCCCTTTCACATAGGTCAAATCTATTTAAGGTTTTGATGGTTTTTCAAAGTCATCTAAAACTTCTGTGTATGATGATGTAGCTTTAGTATGAAATCATACATTTAAATGTACAGCTCAATATATGAACATTGGATGAACATAAATCAAACTGTCTATAATACTTTAATGTTTAATAATTACAGAGATTTCTTGCAAAGATGTAAAGACTATGGCGTCACAGATGTGGAAGTTCCGCAGGCTCCAGTCCAACAGAACAATAATAGGCCGCAGACTGAACAGGCCAAGATTGCTAGCATGGTGAAGTATAAATATTCATATATATAAAAGAAAGTTCTGTTATACTATAACATATTATACTATATAACATTAGAATGGCTGTACGGGGTTGGCTGAAAATTGGTGAAGAGATTGCTTAGAACCAGAAAAAGGATATAGGATACTTTTCATCACATTTGATTGACAAAACAAATTAATAAAATCAAATTCTACTTATTTACAGCCTCTTATATTTTTAATTCTGGATTTGGTAGGGACAGTGTTGCAAACGGAAACTTGTTTATATATGTGAAGCACATATAATTAAAAGCATTTAAAGTAACCAATTTACAATTCGTTATATGCATATAAAAATTAAATTTAATGAACAACCAACTGATATACTTATTACTTATTAGTTATTGTAATGTAAGAAGTAATATTTACAAGTATCATATTTTAACAAAAACACTATATTTACAGGTCCTAACAAGAGAAGAGAAGATCAAACGGTACAAAGAGAAGAAAGAACTCAAATCTAAACTGACAACCCTGTCGAAGGCCATGTCTTCACCGAATGCTGACGACCAGACCAAGAGGGAATACTTCACAACCTTGTTACTGAACTATGTGAACCAAGGCCTCGACGAACTTAACAGCATCGAGCAAGAGAAACCTTTGTTAGAGTATATGAGTACTCATGGTAGAGGTATGGATTGTTATAGAATATGTACCTATATAAATTCCTCCTAAAGTCCTAAACAACTGAACCGATTCGAAAAATAGTTTATAGTATGAATTTTGGTAGTTCTCCATATGTTTTAGTTCATAAATCAGCCCGGCAGATGGCGCTGCAATCGATGTTTAAGCTATTTGAAATGAAAATGCTGTAACTTCCTAAGTTACCATATATGTATACTGCTTTCACACACTTTACACTGTATCTCTCTTAATGCAACTCTGATGTTCAAGTGAATAGAATTACAGGCATAAACTAGTATATAGTATTTATGGACATCTTTAAACTATAAAACTCAATTTCAGAGTCGAAGCCATCAAAGAAGGAACGCGCGCCACCGCTGAAGCCTGTGATTATAACAAAGGATGCTGTCCAGAAGGCAGTGTTTGGTCTTGGATACCCATCACTACCAACCATGACCATAGAAGAATTCTATGACAAGAGAGTCCGGGATGGAATGTGAGTTATTAAGACATTCATACATAACTATATAAGACTATATAATTTAAAAAGTTAAAATTCTTCTAAGAAAATAAGCTAGGAAAATATTGTATAATATAAATTAAGTAGTTGAGAATTAGTTTTTTTAAACAGAATTAGAAAATCTTGTGATGAGAAGTAGTATTTAACAGTAGTATATTATTAGTTAATACATATTTGAATATAAATTTATTCAATAAGTTTATGAATGTTTGTTTTCAGTTTCCCGGATGCGGCTAACATTCCTCACTCCACCATACAGTCATCGAACACAGATCAGGACGAGGCAGAGGAAATTAGAAAGGTATTTACATATAATAAAAGGATATATTATATATAGTTTTTATTGTGGCTATAAATTAAGATGTAAGCTATCCTATTTTTCAAGTTGTATCAAACTACACACGGTGTGCAAATGTAATTTAAAATTGCTTTAGTAGTTCAGGAGTCACACATGATTTAAATATATTTCATATGCCATTTCTTCAATTGCTAACTATGACTATTGCACATATGTATTTAATATTAAGTACAATTAATGTTTAATGTGTGCATATATCGACCATAGTGCTTGGAATTCAATGAGGGAGGCCTATGTCCAGTAGTGGACCTCATATGTTTGAAGATATATGTATATATATACTAGCTTTTGCCGCGACTCCGTCCGCGTGGAGTAGTGACTTCCGGCAGATTTTTGGTTCTTCCAACATAGTTCCCGTTCTTGCGGGGTTTTCGGAATGGTCGAGTTCCCGTAGAGTTTTCAGGATAAAACCTATGGTTTTTTTTAATTCACAATGAAGTAATCTTAACCAACAACATATTTATTTGTTTATTTGAATAAAGATTTTATAAAATTATTTCGACCAAATTAGGTACCACAAAAACGGTTTTTGTGAGTTAATCTTAAAAGACAGACATATACAGTCGCGGACTGTTTTTTAGATCATTAAAAGAGCCATTATTCTTTAATACATTTTTTTGTGTATCTTGAACCGTTTTCACGGCGCACGCAACGGAAGGCTTCAAAGATGAAATAATTTCTCCCGTTTTTTACACATTTACTATATCTTTGCTCCTATTGGTCGTAGCGTGATGTTATATAGCCCACAGCCTTCCTCGATAACTTGACTATCCAACACAAAAAGAATTATTCAATTCGAACCAGTAGTTTCGGAGATTAGCGCTTTCAAACAAACAAACAAACTCTTCAGCTTTATAATATTAGTATAGATTATATCCCCAAGTCATGATATACGAGTCTATATTGGTTGTATAAAATGCTTAATATAAATTTAAAACTATAATACATTTACATGTAGATATAAATAATGTGTAATGTATTAAATGATTACTTCGGTGATATTGTTGTGTCAGTATGTAGTGTAATATATTTATATATTTCCAGGAACAACTCGAGGAGACAGATGACTCGGAGGAATTGGAACGGAAACGGAACTTTGATGAGTACAAGGATGACCACCGACGAGGCTGGGGGAACAGATACAATAGGAGTTAATAAACACATAGAATATTATATTACTGTTTCATTTTTATATTTTATACTATCTGCAGTCTGCGGTTTTGTCTACATATTAAATCAAATATTCATTCGATTTCTCTGAAGACCTTTTTATCAGATCCTGACTTGTTGATGATGGAACTGTCTCAGGATAATGGCTTTTGTATTGAAAAAAAAAAACTTTTTGCAATTAAGGAATTGATAGCTTTACAAATATATGAATTGAGATTGCATGCTTTTGGAAATCTTTTGAAAAGTGGTGAAAGTGTTGAAAAATGAAATGACAAATATAAGAGTGAAATTTCTATCAAAAGCTTTCTAGCCCTTCTAGATAGTAGCCGAACAAACTTAAATTGCAATTTTGATTAAGTTACCGTATATTCTTTCATATACATGTCGTGAAAAGCTGTTAATTTGAAATCCCCAACAATTTTTTTTTTATTAGTATGGAGTGTGTAGTATACGTGCCTCGCCAATAGCTCACCGTCATACTATATAAGATTCTTCTTTGGTATTTGATACATAAACCTGCGTTTACATTATTTTTGAGTAATTGTATGAAAGTAAAGCTGGATAACAATCCACAAATTTAAATTGAAGCGTTTTTACTTTTGCAATAACATGTGTGAGAGATGGTGTTCTAAGAATTGCGACAATAAAAATACTATAAGTACATAATGACATATATTTATATTTTTAATATACATAAAACAATCCACAAACTCGAATTGTTAATTTTAACAATATAAATCGTTGAGCTCTTATGTATCTTTAATGAGTAGTGTGGTTAAGTGGGTTCCGTATCTCTGTCATATAGTAATGGACCCAGAATCCATTTGTAAACAGCAGGATCCTAAGGTAGGGCTGTTAGTCTTTTTTTTTAAATTCTGATACTAATCTGAGTAAAATTTTTCTGAAGTCTTTAAATACTATTCAGCATTGTTTTACAACTAGATAGGTATATATTACAATTTACTATGAAGCAGTTAAGCAGATTAATTGAGCAGTTAATATAAAAGCTCATACCTACAAGTTTTTAAATAATTTTAATTTACAAGTCAGTTTAGTTTTTGTATTTATATATAATTACTACTCGAGGTCGAAAATTATTTAGGATGGTAATATCAGTGAATTCTGTAGATGTGAACTCATTTATTCTCTATTAGAGCGTTCCTTATAGATTTTGAGAGTTAGCTTGAAGTACCTTTTTATTGGCGAAATAAAAACCTATGTGATTAATATTTAAATCGTAAATGTAGTATATAATAACATAATAAGTGCTAGTGATTGACTCCGCCAGCTTTCTCGCCTCCGGCTGAAATCGAAAGTAATAAGTCGTGTTTCGTTATTGTGTTTACGTCAAATTGTACGGCGTTAAACACGTTGTATGACACTGGTACATTAGTAGAATTGGACAGTTTTCATTTGAGATATTGGTATATAGTTGACTACTAAATATTGAAAAAAATGTTTATGTAGTAACTTTAATGTAAGTTTAAAGAAATGTCATATGTTGGATGTGTATTGGTTTATTTATGATCAGAAAACTTTGTTGATTAAGAGTTTTCTCGTTTTGTCCAAGTTTATATATATTTATTGTCATTGAATGTGACTGTCGTGTTGTACGCATGTAGGGCGACCGGCGAAGAGAGCTCGGGCTTCCTTGACGCTGTTTATGGGAAGTGTTGTGTACGGAAACGAAGCCTTTCCGTTTGTGCCTTGGATGTACTACCTACGGATGAGGAAAATGTGCTATTTAATTTATTTATAGATATTATTACATATACTTTTTGTGTTTATGTTTCTTCGATATAAGTATTCGTTAGTGTAAGAATAACATAAAAAAGATAAAGATTTTTTTTTGTGGATACTAACACGATTAAAATGTGGATATATTATGAACTATGTATAATATAAAAAACTATGTATAGTTAAAATTTATTTGAAATTAATATTCTGGAACAAATAATAAAACTATATCGCATCTAGTATTCACAGATCTAGAACCTTCTATAACCAAGGCCGAACTGTTAACTCGCCCGTTGATTTACATTTCGTGCACTAACACCGGTGACTGGTGTCATATTCCAAACATTTTTCCTTATTCCTGCTTCGTATGTCCCTTCCACTTATTATATCTAAGTAATTATATAAAAAATCTATAATTCCATAAGGTATATCCTTATATGGTCACAGTCGGTACACCTGTTTACAAATCGCAGATACATAAAACTTAAGGAATCTTTTATATAAATATTGATAGAATAATATGATAAATATTTGTATATACATACCTTCGTAATTTGTTGGCGATTGATATAATCAACTTAGACTCAATAAAACTGCGTATAAAGGAGGAAATAATAGTTTTTAATAATCTTCTAATCAATGAGATGTTATTATATAGTGATATGTATTATGAAGATTCAATGGAATCCATGATTTAATATACGATGTTGTACAATGAGTTATAACTCGTTCTTGTCTTCAGCTAACTGTACGTTCATAACCTTACCACTTGGGTCAGATTCGCTGCAATTCCGTTAGTAGTTAAAATGCGCGAGTCGACTCCATTTGAATTTCTCGACGTATCAAGTAGGTCACGTGGACGTTGTAATTACCAGGGCTGAGAAACAGGTACAACCTGATGCAAGAGAATTAATGAAAATAGACCATCGATAGGATCTAGGAATGCAGATTGATGTGCTGTCGAGATATATATGAGCTGCTCGTTATTATTTGTCAACTTTATATGTAAAAGAAAGTCGTGTTAGTTACACTATTTATAACTCAAGAACGGCTGTACGAGTTTGGAAGAAATTGGTGGAGAGATAGCTAAGAATCAGAGAAAGGACATAGGATACTTTAGATCCGTTTGAAAAAGAAAAATAAAATATTTGGATAAAATACAAAATGGTATTATTTACTGCCTTTGAGGAGTAACAGAGTTCGTCCGTTAAACATTTCAAACTTTTAAAGTAACGCAGACGAAGCCGCGGGCAAAACAAGTTTATCATAAAGCGATACGTTTTGGATACGAATTTGATTTTTTCTTCGAACGTTATTTGCTAGATAATTCTTATTATTCTTATTGGTGATCAGTCGACTCTTAGTGCGAGACACCAAAGTCAATATTGCCCTGCGGTCACCATAATCGAGATCTGGATTTTTCTATGCAACAAACCAGACCCGACAGCTCACTCAAAACATTATTTCACGACCAGTTCGTTCTAGTGGCATGATAGAACAGGGCTGCAGCTAGGTTCAATGTTCAAATTTTAAGTTCTTTTGATATGTGTCCACTATTGGTTCTGAACCGCAGAAAAGTAGGTTTCCTCTTTGTACCAATTACAAAACTCTTACTTTACCCAATTGTATCCTAACTTAAAAGATCCACAGAATGAAAATATCCTTACTATTTCTTTGATTCCAACAACAGAAGCAGATTATAAACAACTGCCTTCCTCTGTGGTGTCAACTCGAACCCGCACTTCCACTGCTCAAAAGGAGAACGTTAAACGACAATAAGCAATAAATAGATGTTTATGTATACATGAGCTATGCAGTACTTACTATTAATAGAAGCTTCTTCCTCGTTCCATTTTTATTGCGATGAAAATATATTGTTGTTTTTTATATACTTTTGTTTGAGGACGTAGAATATCTAAAATATAAAGTTGTGAATGGCGAACAAGGAATTCATTAATTTATAAAGTCCTTACTTTAGTAAATTGGAAAATTCCAATTGTGTGGAATAGTCATGGTTTTAAATATTTTTTTTTTTTTTTTTTGATGACGTAGTGGAAACTCTTTTTACGAGCCGTCCAACCGGCCTTGGTGGGGCCGGAAGGGATGTGTGAGGCTCGGCCTGGGCAGGCCCCTACTCACTAAAACCACTGCGAAAGCCATCGGCCGCTATGTCGGTGTACCCCGGATCTGTCAGCGACAGGGCACACCAGCGACTGGCCGGTCCTGGCAAAGACCGGACTTACTCCCTCGGAGAATGGGGGCGATCCCGGCAATTAGGACCACCCCGACGACGCCGGACTTTCAATAGGGCCGGGTTACCACGCCGACCCCAGCCCGGAACACAGGGGTGCTATTGGAGGCGTAGGAATTGCCTCCGTCGCACCCCCGTACGTCGCCTGCGGGGGGAGGGAGCATCAGCCGCCCTCTCCCTTTCCCGCTGAGATGCCTCCTTCGTGGACATGACCGTCTCACAGAAGGAGGACACCGCCAACCAGGACCCATCACTCTCGAGCATCTTCTCCACGACACTCGAAAGCGACAGGTCCACTCCGCCGAGAGCCGCCACAAGGTCTTGGCGCTGCGCAGCCCATCTCGGGCACACCTCGAGGGTGTGCTGGGCCGAGTCCACCGCAGCGCCGCACTCATGACAGCCTTCTCCCGGCTCTCTCCTGGCCGTCCGACACAGGTAGTAACCAAAGCACCCGTGCCCGGTTAAAACCTGCGTCAGACGGAAAGTGAGGGGTTTGCGTTTCCGCCTCATCCAACGCTCTAGGACCGGGCGAAGCGCTGCCGTTGTACGTCTATGGTTTTAAATATTACTCTAAACACCTTCAATATTTTTTATAGGTAATTAACAAATCTAGAACAGCCAGCTTTAAGTAGTAGTGCTAAGTACGTCATCTCAACTATTATGGTCAAACGGTAAAGCCATTTATTCGTATAGACCGACATTGACCCAGTACGGGATCCCCGATAAGGTTAATGCTACTCATTGCAATATGATAAAAGAAATCTTAGAACTCTAAACTTTAATAATATTGAAAATAACTCGAAGTTATATATATTAATAGCAAGATTGGTCAATTGGTGTCTTGTTCTTGAAATATGTACAGTATAAAAAAATTGTAATATGAGGAGTTTAGCTTTACCTCAAATATCTCATCTAGAAATACTATTGAATTGTTTATGTATACATTAACTTCAGTATAATAAATAAAATTAAAACTTTAAAAATATGAGGATAACTA